AGGTCAACATGTTCGGGTCACGCGAACATCTCCATACCCGTTCAAGGGGTGGCCACAGGCGTACCTTGGCAGCACCAGTGCCGCTGGGAATGATGTTGAAGCCAGCACCACGGCCACCGCGCCAGTCCTTGTTGGAGGGACCGTCGACGGTCTTCTGCGTGGCAGTCACGGCGTGGACGGTGGTCATGAGACCCTCGACGATGCCGAACTTGTCGTTGATGACCTTGGCAACAGGTGCAAGGCAGTTGGTGGTGCAGGAGGCGTTGGAGATGATGTTCTGGTCGGCGGTGTACTCGGTGTGGTTCACACCCATGACATACATCCTGCACGTAAGAACGCAAGATCGGGATTTCAACGAACGGCTCTAGACAGCTCAAGAGCTGGACTAAAACAGTGTTCGCTGGATCTGAACGTACGGAGCGTCAGCGCTGGGAGCGGAGATGACGACGCGCTTGGCGCCACCGGTGATGTGAGCGGCAGCCTTGTCCTTGGTGGTAAAGACACCGGTGGACTCCACAACGTAGTCGGCACCAGCCGAGCCCCAGGCAATCTCAGCAGGGTCCCTCTTGGCGAAGACCTTGACCTCCTTGCCGCCGAAAATCAGGGTGGACTCGTCCTTCACGGAGACATCACCCTTCCATTGGCCGTGGACGGTATCGTACTTGAACATGTACACCATGTACTGCAAGAAAACATCGAAAATTTGAAACATCCCCTCGAGAGTGTCAGAGAGTGATCTTTCAAAACTATCCGGCTGAGCACATAGGGGTGTAAAATGCTGAGTTTCCCAGACGTACGGTGGTGTCAATGAAGGGGTCGTTGATAGCAACCAGCTCCACATCATCGCGCTTGAGGATAGCCCTGGCGACGAGACGGCCAATGCGGCCGAATCCTGAAACAACAATATTGCACGTAACGAGATCATGAGATCCAAGGTTGCTGATTTGCAAAACAAAAAACAGGAGCTACATGAATCATCAACGCACCGTTAATGCCGATCTTGACGGGGGCTGAATCGCGGGAAGTGGGAGACGAATCAGCGTACACAAGAAATTAAAACGATTATTAGATTCATATTGTCAATGCAGCACAACTATGTAGAGCGAAATTAAATCTGTACTTACCCATGGCTAGCTGACGGAGAAAAATTGTAAAGATCTGGCAGAGAGGACGACAAAGAATGGAAGAGAGAACGATCAGATGAGATTCTCTATGCCTGAGAGTGACCGGCGAGAGGAGTAAACGGCGAGAGAAGACGAGTACTTGATGGTTCTAGAGACTAGCTTTACCTGGGATGAGGGTGAAAGCTGGCTCAAAGTATAGCAAAGTAAGCTTCACCTCAGAAGCAGAAGTTGGTAGAATGATGTTCGTGAAACTCTTTATGGATGACCACGATGCCTGAACTAACATTTCATTCACATGGCACTGTCATGCGAATGGTCATCACGGAATCTGAGCTGGGCCCATTGCTTCGGGCAAACCCGGGAATGCAGGAGGAAGATCTTTTTTTCGTGCTGACGATGACGTGCCCCCTCGCCCAAAACGAGCCGCTAGTACACGTGGCAGCGGCGCTGTTGGCGGGGAGCTGGCGAGACATTGCCCTGCCAATGCGCCCTTTTCGTCCAGCATGGCACCAGCACAGCCAAATTTCACCAGCGTGGTTGCTGGGCAAGTTGGATCTGCCCAACCAAAGTGGTGGGAAGCCCGAAACCTTTGGAGGGGTGTACTGAACAAGCCAGTTGGCTTGGAGGAATCTCCGCTGTGCAGCCATTGGTGGAGTTGGAGGTGCATTTTGGTTGATAGCTGCAAACATAATATTTCACAACTACGTAGAGTAACACGTGATTCGAAGTGTCCTTCTCTGTACACAAATGAGATACCTAATAACGAAGAATTTCCGATTGCAAGAACCCACCCGTCTGCCGAACACCACCCTGCAGGCTGCAGCAGCGCAACCTGCTGGCTGGACATTCCGCACCGCGCGGACGTCCACCGCTTCAAGCGACTGGGGAATCCGCGACGCGAGAGAACAATTTTCGCCATTTCCCTCGCGTTTTTCGCACCAACACGTTTCACCCAACAGCCGCTTTTCCTCTCACTCACCCGTCTCACACACCTGAGAAGCAGACGTCCAGAGCAAAGCTTGTGAATGTGAAGCACAGGACAGCACCACCACCCAATTTCGTACCCATCCCGCTTCTCCGCCTTCTTCCACGGCTCGGTCTAGCTCCACCACTCCCAGTGCATGGTCTGGCTTGACTGACTCTCTTCCCATTACCATTTCCGCTGTTCCCCCTTCTAGGCAATCCCAACCACCTGCGACCCTAACCGACGGTGATCGGGGTCACGTGCGTCGTCGCAACTATCAGCGTTTTCGCCTCAACTTTCGCGCTCGTTCTGGCTTGCCGTCCCAGCTCTTATAGCGCTCTATTACTCCTGGACTGCGTACTAATAGCTTCTTAGAAACCTTACCCAGCTTGTAAATCCCAAACAGCCAGTGCTGGTTCTACAAGGTGCGCGCGGCGATTCTCTAGCATTCCTTTTCACCTTTGGTTTCGGAAACGGTTAGCACCAGTTCGTCATGAATCTCTCCTCCTGAAACAGCGTTGAGTTGTCAGGCGGGGCACGTTGCTATTCCTGCCCTTGTTTGAGCCAATCGCATCCCCCGTAAATTCCGGTGTTGCCCATCAAACTTCGTACGAAAGTGGGATTTCTACTCGTTGTGTAGTGCTTTCAAAGGTTCGATATGCCGCCGGCGGCGCCGGTTTGCTGTTTGCGCGTCTACCCCGTCTTCCCCGCCACTTCCTCATCTGCCGTGATAGGAGTAATTAGCAAGTAGACATGCTGTCGAATCACTTCGTTTAAACCCCTTGTCGACACGCGTTTCAAGGCTGCGTATCAATTCGTTTGTAGCGAAACAATTGGAATTTCGCCTTCGCAAGATAGTTCAACGACTATCGCAGCTGTTCGTCGCGGAAATGAATGATTCGGCATCAGTAAGATCGTTTCAAATTCGACAGACAAAACGACATCCCGGCATCCTCCGCAATCTTCGCCACGATGACCAGTGCTTGGGCGCGCATCCCTTGCGACGGCATAATCTGGGTTCAGTTCTAGTTGCGCTAGCTCAAATTACCCTTGCCATGCTTATAACCGCGTCGATGCTGTGCGACGGCGTCGCAGCGGGAGCAGCGGCAGAGTCGCACGGTCAGATTTGGTCGCACGTCGATTCCCTCTCAGACTTGTCGTCATCGCCGTCGCCTGTTGCGACGTTTTCGCCGGAATCTACGCTCGCGTATCTGCTGACTGGCGAAAGTAGCGCGCATTCGCGACGGCTGCAGGCGAAGAATAAAGCATCGAAAGCGGCAGGCTGCGATTATCGCAAGGGCAGGTAAGCGAGGGTTACCGGTGTTCTGGCCGAATCGCCAATTTCTCGCCACAAATAATTTGCTTTAGATTCCGCCAATTACTACTTGGCACTTGATTCATTCTTCCTTCTTTTGTGCTTTGACCCCTGTCCCTCATCTTCCTTATTAGTATTACTCAACTCTCTCAGCTTCCTTCTAATTGCTCTCCCCATAGCTCCCCGCACTCCCTCTCCCCATACCCCCCCCTACACCTTCTCCCCGCACCTCTTCCTCGCCATTGTAGTCAGCGAAATTTCATAAATACCAGTTTCCTACCAGTTTCCCTACTCTTTTCTAACCAATGTACCTCTGTAGTGCACTTCCTGTCTCCTCATTTCCCCCCTACCCCTCCTTACTCTCTCCCTTTCCCGCCACTCCTCACACTGCCTATTCGAATCACCAATCTCTCCCTTCCCTTTTCCCCCAACGTCACCAATCCTACTCCCAGATTCATCCCCCTCTCTTCTGAACAACATGAACACCCCTCCCCCCATCTCTCCCCTCTCCCTCTCCTCCCCTCCCCTCCCCCAATCCCTCCCCCTACCGATCCCCCTCCCCCTCCTTCTCCCTTCCCTCTTCCTTCCCTTTTGGCTTCCGCATCCCAAAACACCCTGCGCAGATGGGTCCACATTTCTAAGATACCCGGGTACAAGGTGCCGTACACCCTAAACTGCTCGCGGCAATTCAGCAGCGAATTCTGTGACGTTTGAAATATCTTTCCCCTCCCCCTCCCGCTCCCCCTTTTCCCCTTTCCCCCTTCCTTCCCCTTTGGCTCCCGCCTCCCAAACCACCCTGCACAGCTGGGTGCACATTTCCAAGATACCCGGATACAAGGTGCCGTATCCCCTAAACTGCTCGAAGCATTTCAGCTGCGCCAACGTGCCTCCCGGGAAGCAGCACCCGTCCAACTACGTCTGGCTGCCCGCGCCGCCTGAACATCCCTCCCCCGATCCTTCCCCTCCCCTCCCCCTCTCCCCTCCTCCCGGGAAGCAGCACCCGTCCAACTACGTCTGGCCTAAACTGCTCGAAGCAATTCAGCTGCTATTTTTGTGGCCTCATAATTCGTCCCCTTCCCCCCTTCCCCCTCTCCTCCCCCTTCCCCCTCCCCCTCCCCCTCCCCCTCCCCCTCCCCCTCCCCCTTCCCCCCCCACTCAACCTCCCCTTTGCGCAGCTGGGTGCACATTTCCAAGATACCCGGGTACAAGGTGCCGTACCCCCTAAACTGCTCGAAGCACTTCAGCTGCGCCAATGTGCCTCCCGGAAAGCAACACCCGTCCAACTACGTCTGGGTGCCCGCGCCGCCCTGCAACTACTACACGTGGAAGTGCGTGATTCGAGGGATTTGACGAGGGGGAGGAATGGGGGTTCGTGGTGGTGTGTATTGGGGGGAAGAAGGATTTTTGGGATGACAATTAGTAACGAGTGGCTGTTGCTCCACTGCTCCGTAAGATTTGTGCGAGAATAAGCTTTGAGTGGGATCAGTGTAATGATACACTTACAGTCACATAATCGATATATTCGCAACCGCACGCCTGCCTCCTCGTCCCGCCGTCCCTACACCCCAGGTTCAATGCCAAGCGATTTCTAAAGAAGATGCGAAACACTGTGATGGCGTTTGTGGGAGACTCGTTAAACGACAACATGTACGAGGGTATCGTGTGCCTCCTGCAGGCTACAACACGGGTAGTGGTGAGTTGCAACTATAAGTCTTATGTTGTGCACTATAAAGGGGATATGTTTGCGACTCACTAAACACAACTTGTACGAGGGCATCGTGTGCCTCCTGCAAGCAACAACACGGGTAGTGGTAAGCAACCATAAGTTTTATTTCTATACATTTACAACAAAACTATAAGAAGTCTCGGGTTGGCAAGCGGAGACTCGGGTCATACTATGTACCGAATTCCAACCTCACCACTCCTTTCCACTCCTCTCTTCCTCTCTCCCTCACACCCATACGCATCCTCACCACAACCCCCTTCCCTCCTCCTCCATCACACCAGTTCAAGAAGGTCAAGGTGGGCAATCGGAGACCGGGGTCGTGCTATTCGCCAAAATACGACCTCACTACTCCCTTCCACTCCTCTCCCCCTTCCCTTCCCTTGTCCTCCCCTCGCCCCTCTCCCCACCAGTTCAAGAAGGTCAAGGTGGGCAATCGGAGACTATTCGCCAAAATACAACCTCACTACTCCCTTCCCATTCCTTCCTCCATTCCCTTCCCTTGTCCTTCCCCCCATCCCTTTCCTTCCCTTCCCCCCACACCAGTTCAAGAGGGTCAAAGTGGGCAATAGGAGGCTCGGATCATACTCTGCGCCGAATGACAAAATCACCACTACTCCGAATGTGCTTTATCTCCCTCTTATCTCCCTCTTCCCCACCAATTTTGAAGAAGGCGGAGGAGCTTCATCACCCTCTTCCCCACCCGCCAACCCCCATCCCCATCAGTTCAAGAAGGTCAAAGTGGGCAATCGGCGGTTAGGGTTGTACTTCAAGCCGAATTACAGCCGCACCACTCCCTTCCACCCCTCTCTCCCTTGCACACCCACGCATCTTCTCTCTTTCTCCCTCCCCCGCACCCTTATGCATCCTCCCCACACCCCCTCCCCTGCTCCCCCCTTCACACACCAGTTCAAAAAGGTCAAAGTGGGCAATCGGCGGCGAGGGTCACACTTCGTCCCGAACTACAATCTCACCACTCCCTTTGCATTCCCTTCCCTTACTTCCCCCTTTCCTACCCTCCTCTCTCCCTCTCTCCCACACGCACATACGCATCCCTCCCCCCCCCCCCCCCCCCCCCCAACACCAGTTCAAGAAGGTCAAGTTCGGCAATCGGAGACTCGGGTCCTACTTTGTCCCGAATTACAACCTCACCACTCTCACCATCAACAGCGGTTACCTGGTTCAAAGCCCACGATATGTGAGTTTACCGAGGGTGCTTTTGTTGGATAGACAGTGTACAGTACATCATACAACCTCACCACCCTCACCATCAACAGCGGCTACCTGGTTCAGAGCCCACGATATTTTAGTGTAATACATGTGTGAGTGTACCGAATGTGACCCATTTAAGTGCATAACCCACATGTTTTGCACCGAATTACAACCTCACCACTCTCACCATCAACAGCGGCTACCTCGTTCAGAGCCCACGATATGTGAGTTCAACGAAGATGCTTTGACTGCATACACAGTGATACTGTGCATCACGTTCCATACCGAGTTTCAACCTTAGTACCCAAACAGTCAACGTCGGTTGCCTCGTTCAGAACCTGCCGTATGTGAGTGTAGTTCATGTGTGTGCGTAGTTCATGTGTGAGTGTACAAGATGTGATCGTGCATTTACCTTACCTCTTGAGCCGAATTACAACCTCACCACCGAGGTGACTTTTGAGTCAACTCAAAAGTCACTTTGAGTCAACTCAAAAGTCAACTCAAAAGTCACTTTGAGTCAACTCAAAAGTCAACTCAAAAGTCACTTTGAGTCAACTCAAAAGTCAACTCATAAGTCACTTTGAGTCAACTCAAAAGTCAACTCATAAGTCACTTTGAGTCAACTCAAAAGTCAACTCATAAGTCACTTTGAGTCAACTCAAAAGTCACCTCGTACCTTACCTCTTGAGCCAAATTACAACCTCACCACCGCCACCGTCACCATCAGCAGCGGCTCCAAGAGCTTCTGGTGTTTGTCCTTCCTAATCCTCTTTTGAGGCACCAACCACAAGACAGCGGTCCACACACTGAACCCCAAGTGGGCCACGCTGCTGCCCATCCCCCTCGATAACTGTGTTCCATTCCCCCATCCTTCCTCCATCCCCCTCGATAACTGTGTTCCATTCCCCCATCCTTCCTCCATCCCCCTCGATAACTGTGTTCCTTCCCCCATCCTTCCTCCATCCCCCTCGATAACTGTGTTCCTTCCCCCATCCTTCCTCCATCCCCCTCGATAACTGTGTTCCATTCCCCCATCCTTCCTCCATCCCCCTCGATAACTGTGTTCCATTCCCCCATCCTTCCCCCATCCCCCTTGATAACTGTGTTCCATTCCCCCATCCTTCCTCCATCCCCCTCGATAACTGTGTTCCATTCCCCCATCCTTCCTCCATCCCCATCCCGCAGACCACCAACCACAAGACAGCGGTCTACACAATGAACCCCAAGTGGGCCACGCTCCTCCCTTACACAGACGCCATCGTGTTCAACGCGGGCCACTGGTTCTTCCATCCGGTGAGTGCGTGAGTGCGTGAGTGAGTGAGTGAGGAAGTGAGTGAGTGAGGAAGGGAGCGAGTGAGGAAGGGAGCGAGTGTCTGTGTTGGTGGACCTGGTGCCTTACAGTGTTATGGCTTATGGCATCACGGCATTAAAGCTCGCCATTCTCTTGCCATACACAGACGGCATTGTGTTCAACGCAGGCCACTGGTTCTTCCACCCGGTGAGTGCACGCGTGTTGCTGTGCTTGTATGCGTGTTGCTGTGCTTGTATGCGTGTTGCTGTGCTTGTATGCGTGTTGCTGTGCTTGTATGCAACCACATCTGGTGTGTTACAGCGTTAAAGGCTTACCAGCAGTACTGCACTGCACTACATTTGAGACGTCTCAAAAGTCACTGCACCACACCCACGCTCCTGCCATACACACAGATGCCATTGTGTTCAACACAGGCCACTGGTTCTTCCACCCGGTGAGTCCCTGTGCTGCTGTGATGGTGATTTCACACTGCAGAACCCCGCTTTCCCTCCTACGTTTTTTGAGAATTCTCAAGAAACATACGGTGAGTCCCTGTGCTGCTGTGATGGTAATTTCACACTGCAGAACTCCGCTTTCCTTCCTTACACTCACACTGGTTCTTCCCCAGTACCCCATCCCAGTCGTGAGCCATGCACTGGTCTCCATTACACACTATTTCGCCAAGTCATCCTACAAGGGAGCAGCAGTGTTCTTCACCTTCTCCCCCGTGCATGACAAAGGCTACTTACTGACCCCTCCTCGCTCTCTCATCCCCCCTCTCCCCCTCCTCTCTCTCTCCACCCTCTCTCCCTCCCTCCTCCCTTCTCCCCGCTCTCTCCTCCCTTTCCTTTCCCCACAGCCCAAGGACCAGACCACTCCCTGGTACCCAACCCCAGTCATGAGCAAGGCGCTGGTAACCGTGCGAGAGTATAAGCTACTGTTTTGTTCACATTTTCTCCCATTCCCCCACCTCCTGCTTCCCTTTACTTCCCACAGCCCAAGGACCAAACCACTCCCTGGTACCCAACCCCAGTCATGAGCAAGGCGCTGGTAACCGTGCGAGAGTATAAGCTACTGTTTTGTCCACAATTTCTCCCATTCCCCCACCTCCTGCTTCCCTTTACTTCCCACAGCCCAAGGACCAAACCACTCCCTGGTATCCAATCCCAGTCATGAGCAAGGCGCTGGTAACCGTGCGAGACTATTTCGCCAAGGCGAACTACAAGGGAGCAGCCGTGTTCTTCACCTTCTCCCCCGTTCACGAGAAGGGCTACTGCAACGCCGCCCAGCCGTTCCCGCCGAACGTGCAAGCGGAAAACACGCTGATGAGCTTCATCATGCCTGCCATGAAGAAACAGGTGCGTGGTTCCAACACACTGGTTAACAGGTACGTGGTTACCAGGTACGTGGTTACCAGACCATCATCCAAGGGAGCAGCCGTGTTCTTCACCTTCTCCCCCGTTCACGAGAAGGGCTACTGCAACGCCGCCCAGCCGTTCCCACCGAACGTGCAAGCGGACAACACGCTGATGAGCTTCATCATGCCTGCCATGAAGAAACAGGTGCGTGGTTACCACTTGTGGTTACTGGAACACATCAGATCACTAGAAACACATCAGATCACTAGAAACAGACACTTTTTCCTTCATGAGCGCCATGCGGCCAGACGCCCACCTGGGGGCTGACCCCACCTTTTTCCTCGCCTTACTCCCTGTTGACAATGACCCATCAGGTGACAGTGATGAAGCGGTCATCCATGAAAGTGGCAGAGATCACCTTCATGAGCGCCATGCGGCCAGACGCCCACCTGGGGCTCACCCCGCTCCTTCCTCTCCGCTCCTTCCCTCTCTTTTCCTGCACCCTGCCTCATTGCAATCCCACTGCAGGTCACTGTTATGAAAAGATCAACCATGAAAGTAGCGGAAGTGACCTACATGAGCGCCATGCGGCCAGACGCCCACCTGTTTCTGAATGGGAGGGACTGCAGCCACTGGTGCCTGCCGGGTGTGCCGGACGCTTGGTCCGACGTGCTGTATAACATCCTGATGGGAGTCAGAAGGAACTTCAAGTGAGGAGGAGGAGGAGGAGGAGGAGGAGGAGGAGGAGGAGGAGGAGGAGGAGGAGGAGGAGGAGGAGGAGGAGGAGGAGGAGGAGGAGGAGGAGGAGGAGGAGGTTATACGAGGAGGAGGAGGTTATTGAGTCGACTCAAAAGTCTGTGGGGTATGGGTGCGGGGACGATTGAGTCGACTCAAAAGTCTGTGGGGTATGGGTGCGGGGACGCGTGCGTTGGGAGATGGGTTGTGGAGCAAGGAGGGAGTGCACCCACTGGAGTCTGTGGGTGTGCCGGACGCTTGGTCCGATGTGCTCTATAACATTCTGATGGGAGTCAGAAGGAATTCACATGATGGAGAAGGGGGATGAGCAGGGTGTGTAGCAGACTGTAGGGGTGTTGGTTGCGACTGCAGCCACTGGTGCCTGCCGGGTGTGCCTGACGCCTGGTCCGACGTGCTGTATAACATCTTGATGGGCGTGCGGAGGAATTTCACATGAGGTGTTCCCATCGAAGTGGGGGAGTGGGGGTAGCCTAGCCCAGCCCTGGTGGTCGCGACTGCAGCCACTGGTGCCTGCCGGGTGTGCCCGATGCCTGGTCCGTTGTTCTATACAAAATCCTCATAGGTGTGCGGAGGAACTTCACATGAGGAGGGATGAGGGATGGGATGGAAGGGATGTGGGTGGGAGGAAGGATTGGGTTACAAATCTGGGTTGTGAGGTGTGGAGGAGTGTTGGGAGGGGTTTCAGCTACTGTTGCCCGCCTGGTGTGCGTAATATAGCCACTGTGGCATGATGCAGAGAAATTGCGATCCATAGACCAAATGCAAGTCTGGAGCATACAGTGCATCATTTGGGAATTCCCCTATCGTATGTGGGGTAAGACGGATCAAAACTACGGTAGGTTCTTTTATGAAGGATGTCTTGCTGACATTTTTCGATACCAGTATGATAATAAATCGATCCGTTTTTCCTGCTGGTACCATTATGCAGCCAAATTATGTGATCGCAGTGATACAAAAATGGCATGTTGTAAAGCTAGGTAGATTACGGTATTGCCCATGTTGCGGCATTGCTTCAGCCCAGCTACAGCCCACTGGTACTAAATGCTTGTTCCTTTTTCTCAGTACGACAGGTACTACTAGCATCACCCTCTTACCGTAACAACATTTGAATGCGAGCACGCGTCTGAAATGCCTAATGAAATCACAAGTCAAGGGACACGAAGGATGGGAAGGACTACTGCAAGGTAACGATACAGTAAATGTTGGGAAGACATTCTACCAGTAGTTCGGAAAGAGGGATCAAGGGGCATAAACAATAATGGGAGGGATGGAGAGATGGAGTGGACATAGAACTTCTGAGACAGCTGCAGGGTGTTTTTGAGAATTCTCAAAAGGAGGGACCAAGGGGCATAAACAAATAATGGGAGGGATGGAGGGATGGAGTGGACATGGCACTTCTGAGACACAGCACTGGTATGTCTGAGCAAGCTCCGTTCTGCCGCTCCACCCCACAGAAGCAGCAGCAAGAGCGACCAGCGACACACTTTTCAGCAGCAGCATCAGCAGCAGCAGGAGCAGCAGCAGCAGCAGCAGGAGCAGGAGCAGGAGCGGCGCCAGCAGCAGAGACCAGCTTACGCTTGCCCCGCAGCAGCAGCCACCTCAGCAGCAAAATCCGACACCTTCTTCTCAATCCCCTCTCCCAGCGTAAACCTCTCAAACCGTCTCACGCGGATGTTCTCCCCCAGCGCAGCCACCACCTCCTTCACCACCTCCTTCACAGTCACCTTATCGTTCTTAATAAACGGCTGCTCCAGCAGAGCCAGCTCTGAGACGCGCTTCGCCAGCCGCCCGTCCACAATCTTACCGCGCACCGCCTCGGGCTTGCTCGCCAGATCCTCCTTCCCCATCTCAATCTCCCGCTCCTTGGCGAGCCAGGCCGAATCCACATCCTCCTCGCTCACCACCTGCACGCCCGGGCACGCCACGACCTGCATCGCCAGGTCGTCCACCAGCTCCCGGAACTTGTCCCCCCGCGCGACAAAGTCCGTCTCGCAGTTGATCTCGATGAGAGCGCCGATGCGCCCGTCGTGAATGTAGCTCCCGACAATGCCCTCCGCGGCGATGCGAGATGCCTTCTTGTCTGCGCTGGCCAGACCCTTCTTGCGGAGCAGCTCCCGGGCAGCATCAACATCCCCACTGGTGGATTCAAGTGCTTTCTTACAGTCCATCATGCCGGCGCCGGTGGCGTCCCGAAGCTGCTTCACTGCCGCCATAGACACGGCGACCTTGGGCTTGTCGGCGGCAGGCTCGGGCGCAGCTTCGGCGGCAGGAGCGGCAGGGGCAGGAGCAGCAGGCGCGGCAGGGGCCTGCACCTGGCTGGCTGCAGCCACCTCCGCTGCGAAATCAGCCGATTTCTTCTCGATTCCCTCCCCGAGGTTAAACCGCACGAAGCGGCGAATGCGGATGTTCTCGCCGAGAGAAGCAATGGCCTGCTTCACCACATCCTTCACCATCACCTTATCATTCTTGATATACGGCTGCTCCAACAGAGCTAGCTCATTCAACCTCTTCGCCATCCGCCCATCCACAATCTTCCCGCGAACCGCCTCAGGCTTGCTCGCCAGATCCTCCTTCCCCAGTTCCACCTCCCTCTCCTTCGCCACCTGCTCCGCAGGCACATCCTCCACAGATACCACCTCCACCTGGGGGCACGCCGCCACCTGCATGCCCAAATCTTCCACCAGCTCCTGGAACGCACTCCCTCGGGCGACGAAATCCGTCTCGCAGTTCACCTCGATGAGAACGCCGATGCGGTCCGAGTGAACGTAGCTGCTCACGAGCCCTTCGGACGCAATGCGGGAAGCTTTCTTGTCGGCGGAAGCGAGCCCCTTCTTGCGGAGGATCTCGCGGGCCGTGTCGAGGTCCCCGTTGGCGTCGGTGAGAGCCTTCTTGCATGCCATCATGCCGGCCCCCGTCTCCTCCCTCAGCTGCTTCACCACTGCGGCTGAAATGCCACCTGCTGCTGCACAAGAGGCGGGGTTGAGGGGAGGGAGCGGGAAAAGAAGCAGGGGAAGGGAGATTGTGAGAGGCCTTCTTGTCTTCACCGGAAAGCACCAAGCCCCTTGTGGCGAGGCCCTTCTTGCGGAGGATCTCGTGGGCCGTGTCGAGGTCCCCGTTGGCGTCGTTAAGGGACTTCTTGCATGCCATCATGCCAGCCCCCGTCTCCTCCCTCAGCTGCTTCACCACCGCCGCTGAAATGCCTGTCGGGAATGGGTAGAGGCGCGGGGAGCGGGGGATAAGGTTGAGTCGAGGTCCCCGTTGGCATCAGAGAGAGCCTTCTTGCATGCCATCATGCCGGCGCCGGTTTCCTCCCTCAGCTGCTTCACCACTGCCACTGAAATGCCTGTTGGGAATGGGGAGGGGTGCGGGAAGGGTTGGGGAAGGAGGAAAGAAACGGGGATCAGCTGCTTCGTCACCACTGCTGAAATGCCTGAATGGGAAGGGGACGGTTCGGGAGTGAGGAGTGAGGAATGCGGGAGATCGAATGGAGAAGGATGGTGGAAAGGGAGGTGAAGCAAAGGCAAAGCTGCACCATTGTGTATGTGCCATTATGCATGTGCCATTATGCATGTGCCACCATGTATGTGCCACCATGCATGTGCCACCATGCATGTGCCACCATGCATGTGCCACCATGCATGTGCCACCATGCATGTGCCACCATGCATGTGCCACCATGCATGTGCCACCATGCATGTGCCACCATGCATGTGCCACCATGCATGTGCCACCATGCATGTGCCACCATGCATGTGCCACCATGCATGTGCCACCATGCATGTGCCACCATGCATGTGCCACCATGCATGTGCCACCATGCATGTGCCACCATGCATGTGCCACCATGCATGTGCCACCATGCATGTGCCACCATGCATGTGCCACCATGCATGTGCCACCATGCATGTGCCACCATGCATGTGCCACCATGCATGTGCCACCATGCATGTGCCACCATGCATGTGCCACCATGCATGTGCCACCATGCATGTGCCACCATGCATGTGCCACCATGCATGTGCCACCATGCATGTGCCACCATGCATGTGCCGTTGTGCACGTGCCACCATGCTTGCACCCTTTGAGTTGGAAGCATGGGCATGTGAAAGTGTATGGTGGTGTTAAAGTGGAACACCAGGACAGGGGAAGAGAGAAAGGGAGTCCGTTTTTTAGGCACCTCAGGAACAATAGGACAGGGGAAGAGAGAGAGGAGAACAGACCAAGACAGGGGAGGTGATGAACGAAAGAGAGAGTAAAGGGAGAACGGAGGGAGAACAGGAAGGAGAGGGCGGTTAGGGGAGGAAAGGGGTTGACGTGGGGAGGAGATAAACAAAAAGTGGAACTATGCAACTGTCAAGGGTAATCAATTTGGAGCCAGAGGAGACAGACTGCAAAGGCGCAGCCCCAGGGAGGTTTGTTAGTGAACAAGCGAGAACAGGCTACTGGTACGGAACACGTGAGCAAGGGCTGGGCAGTGAGTATAGGCGAATGTGTAAGGAGAGGCGCGGTTAATGGGTAGTTGGTGGCTCAGTGGAGTGGAAAGCTGTGGTAGGAACGCTTTGTTGGTGGGGAGTGAGTGAGTGTGGGGGAGGGATAGAGGGAAAGCAATGGGAGGAGGAAGGCTGAGGCGAGGTGAAGGCACAGGCGTGTGAGGAAGGCTGCTGGGCGGTTTGATAATTTCAGATTGGAGAAATTTATTTCTGCATTATCAAGGTAAAAGGTTACACAAAAGGGTTAAACAGCCAGACAACTCGTTTGAAACCCTGAGCCCTGACCAACATCCCTCCACCATGCAAACAGACGCAACTAGCTCGGCCCCCCTTCAGCACCCTACCCCCTCCCCTACTCTCCCCCTGCTAAACTACTCACTGCTACCTGCTGCGGGGGTGGCGGCAGGAGCAGGAGCAGCCTCCTCCTTCGTCTCCTCCACAGCCGGGATATCTGCCACCAGCACAGCCTCCGCCGCTTCCGCAACAGCTTCAGCCGCAGCAGGCTCAGCAGCAGCAACAGCCTCAAGCGGCACAGGTGCCGCCTCCTCCTCTACCTTCTCCTCCTTCTCCTCCTCCACAGCAGCCGCCACTGCCTCTGCTGCCTCCTCTGCTGCCTCCTCTACAGCCTCCGCCACTGTCTCTGCCGCTGCCTCAGCTGTTTCCTTCTTCTCCACCACCAGAAGCTCCTCCTCCGCGTCAGCAGCAGCCGGGGCGCGGCGGGGGGCGTCAGTGACGAGGTTGGCGCGGCGGAAGGCCGCCTCGAAGGGGTTGAGTGCACGAATCTCTTCGTCCTGGGGGCTCGTCTCGTTGAAGAGAGTCACCTGATGGGGGGGGGGAATGGAGAAAGACGGGCGGATAGGGTGTCAAAGCGAGGGCGGAAGGCGGCTTTGAAGGGGTTGAGCGCGCGGATCTCCTCGTCCTGCAGGCTCGTCTCGTTGAACAGCGTCACCTGATGATGCGAGGGGGCGGAGGAAAGAGGAAAGGGGAGCAACAAAAGGTCAAGGGTGGGCCTTGAAAGGGGAGAGCGCGCAGAGCTCCTCGTCCTGGGAGCTCGTCTCGTTGAAAAGCGTCACCTGATGATGTGAGGGGAAGGGAACGGAGAGCGAAAGCGCGAGGGTTAGGGGCCCAATGCGACGAGAACGAGGGTCAAATGGGGCGCCAAGACTGTTAAGTGCGGGGATCACCAGGGGACATGGTGAAGGCATGGTGGCTGAACATTATACAAGAAAACGATCACAGCACACTACAGGGGGACATGGTGCACGAGGTGGGTATGGTGAAGGACGAGAACGGTAAGGATACTCACATCGACCTCTTCCTTCATTGTCAGGCTGATGCGGTTCTTCTGCTCACGGAAATGCCACGGAGAAACGAAAATGACCAAGGAGGATTCATTTGTATGTAAAAGCGCTTTGAACATTTTGTCTGTAAGAAATAACAGGCTCCGTTGTAATGTATCACAACTTCACATTCCTAAAGAACTGAGACAAGAGCGTAAAAAAAAGGTTGTAACGAAAATGAACTGCCATATAACTTCGTTAAACCACTAATAGCACATCCCTCCCTCCCTTCCTCCCCATCTTTCCCCACCTCGTTCCACTGTCCCGCGTCAGCCTGAAAAGGACTCACCTCAACCTTTGCAATAGTGACCTCGAGCTCCTGGCCCACCGACACCAGCGACTCCACAGGCACCATGTCGCCTGGTGCGGGGAAAGGGGGAGAAGGAAGGAGGGGGCAACGGGTTTAGTTTGGAAAGTTTTAGTTTCAATCGTTCCAATCATTCGCGAATGCGACCTCAAGCTCCTGGCCGACCAGCGATACCAGCGACTCCACAGGCACCATGTCGCCTGGAGTGTGAGTGGAAAGAGGAGGGGCAACGACGTCCGTTATTCCAGCGACTCATTTATTGACATTCAGTTATTCCAAGTTAGCCCATTAAGGTCACGATCTACAACAGCTAGTTCACCTCCAGGGGCGATTTCCGACGCGTGGAGGAGCCCCTTCACTTTGCCTTCGAGCTCCACGAAGCATCCGTACGAGGTAAGGTTCTTCACCACACCCTTCACCTTCCACCCCTTTACTCACAACCCTCAACCATGTTCCAGATACTAAACCTTTGAGTGGGCTTACCTCCAGCGGTGATCTCGGAGGCGTGGAAGGAGCCCTTCAACCTTCCCCTTCGATCTCCACGAAGCACCCGTACGACGTCAAGTTCTTCACCACGCCCTTCACCTTCTGCCCCTTGTATCAAAACCCTTTCACCTTTCGACATATCAGCCACTCCCAGACATACAAACAAGTGAGAAAACTTTGCTTACCACCAGGGGCGATCTCGGAGGCGTGGAGGAGCCCCTCCACCTTCCCCTCGAGCTCCACGAAGCATCCGTATGACGTCAGGTTCTTCACCACGCCCTTCACCTTCTGCCCCTTCTTGTAGTTATGCGTCGGCTTCTGATCCTCCCGCTGCTGCCTGCGGCCCCTGCCCGCCACCTTGCGCTCGGACGCGTCCCCCTCCGCGCCCCCCGCGGACTGGCGCCGCTGCTGCGCCGACGCCTTCCGCTCCGCATCAACGGCCGCCGTCTCCTCCGCCGCCACGCGCTCCGCTTCCGGGTCGCGCATGGTGAGCGCGATGCGGCCGGACTCCTTGCTGGCCTCGATCACTCGCACTACAACCTCCTGCCCGACGGTTACCACATCCTCAACCTTGTTCACGAAACCCGTCTGCGGCGAAAGAAGCGTGCGAAAGAGGGGGCATTGGGGTTGTTCTCAGGCAAAAGGGCAGGACGGGAAAAAGTAAACTGATTCTACCGTCACAATTAACAGAACTTTTTGCGACAAGTCTCGACCCCCATTCTTACATCCATTCGTCTCGGTTTCTAGGCGCCTCGCAACCTACGCTACTGATGAGCTAAAGATGGCGCATGTGCACCTCCTTATTCCAGCAGGACATGTGCACGAGGTCATTTGCGGAGACAGAAAAATAAGCTACGTTCGCGAACTAGCTCCATGTGATATCGTAGTCATGGCCATTTATTAAGTGGAAGTCCACTGATTCTGTACCGTGAGTTGGGATATGTGAACGAGGCCGCCGGTGAAAACCAACAAAAATGAGTATTACTCTGGTTGTTACGAGCCCGCGATTCCGTACCGCATCTTGAAAGTAGCGTAAAGATTCGTACCGCGAGCTGGGAGATGTGGACGAGGCCGTCGGTAAACGCGCCAATGTCGACGAAGGCTCCGTACGGCTTCACCGAGCGCTGCAAACAGCACGGAGAACAGAACGAGCACGGAAAAGAAGCACGGTCGGATTCGCAAGGATAAACCCTAGCACCGCGCAATATCAAACACTCCCAGTAAAATTTCGAAAAGTACCACACAGGGACAGCCATCTGCTGATCGGGCCCAAACACCGGAAAAGGAAAATGTATTTGACTAAGCCTTTTAACATAGTTAATTGGAAAAAATCATACACTAAGGATGAGTCGAGATACAGGGAACCCCCAATCAATGAGTTGAGGAACGGAGGAACACTCACAACTTTGCCAGTGAGCTCTTGGCCAGGCTGGAGGTCCTCGACGTTCACGGTAACCTTTCTCCTCCTGGTAGCCCCAGGCCGCGCCTTCCTCTCCTCCGTCTTCTCCTCAGCAGCAGCAGACGGAGCAGGCGTTTGCTCGGCGGCGGCATCGGTGCTCTCGGGAACAGCCTCCACTGCCTCCTCCACTGCCGTCTCTCCCTCCACGCTCACGGCCCTCACACAGGGAAACGCCCTGCTGGAGACGGGAAGATGAAGGCTCTTCTGGAAGCTGGCTCTGCGGAAAGCGGGAAAGGGCGGTGGAGAAGAAAAAGGTTATAAGCTCTTCTGAAAACAAGACATGCGGGATGGTAGGAAGAATCATCTAGACCGGAGGAATCAAGGAAGTGCGGTGAATGTTGAATAAACTGCACTGAATTCACGAATTGTGGAATTAGTGCCTTCAACGTGTAGTTCGAACGGGGCACGAAATTAAGAAAAAAACGCCGCCAAATGACGACATAGACACATCCAGGTGCACATGCCGCACTATTTACAACGGGCGCAGAATCACGTCAGCGACATACCTAAGGCGGTTTTGGTGAAGGCGGAGCTGACCCTGCGGAAATCCAGCCGCTGGAAGTGCAGCGCGAGCCTGGAAAAGGGGTTTTCGTTCATAAGAAGTCTGAGTACAACAAAATAGCAGCTACTTGGGCGTAAAACCAGCTGTGGGACACTGTACGTCAAGGAATTGAGAAGAAACCTAGGAGCTTAACATAAGTGATCGTAACAAATCGTTTGTTTGTTTGTTTTTTTTTTTTTTTTTTTTTTTTTTTTTTTTTTTTTTTTCAGGAAGAACTGGTAATAAGATACTGGCACGAGGAACAGCAAGACCCCTTACATTGCAAGTGGTCTTAGGCAGTGCCGGGAGGACAGTGCTCGAAAGCACTGACGTCGTCAATTTCGTGACTGACGCCATTTTGGTGATTCTATACGAGCTCAGGCAGAAACTAGACCGTCGACAAATGGCTAATCGAGCAACGAGAAGCTGCTGAGGAAATGCGGCGAGCAAGCTTTCGGTAATCGAAGCTCAGAAGCCGTCAACGGCCTAAGATAGGAATGGGAAAAAAGAGGAACGACAATGGAAGGGTATGGCAGTTTGTAGGTTCCAGAAGCAGCAACCTGCCGCAGCAACTTCGGGCCTGGAGGGGGATGGAGAAACGCTAACAAACACTGAAAATCCCCCACCCCAAGCTGGACTTCGAAGTTCCACAGCCTGAACAATGGATTTCCTGGAACACAAGACGATCCCAAGGAGTAGGGGATGTGGCTCTGATGTGTCGTCAGAGAAGTCAAACACGTGGCGGTACTGAAGGGCTGACCCAGGCTGGATTTGCTGACGTGGTGTTGTGGATGGGGCTGGGGGGAGTCTGTTTGACGAGTAGTAGCTGAGGTGAGTGGCGTGGTCTGCTGCGAAGCCAGAAGAGGTTTACACACTCTGGAAAACTGACCTCTATTGTCCCGCCAAGTGGAATTGCTGTTGAGCCAGGGTTTCGAAACTCAAGATTGCGGGAGAGACTTGACTTTGTGGCCGTGTGTATATTTTACGAGCCCAACAGTGTAGACAGAACTACATGAATTTCGCCTCTTTACAGTAACGAATTTACGCAAGCTGCAACTTTGAATTGACGCGGCAAGCTGTGTGTTTCCCGCCGAGCCTCGCTGACAACATGCCAGGTCGCGCGTCTCGGCACAATCAAGCCCAGCTTTCCTTCAGGCTCCATCCAGGCCATCTTCCCCCCAGCCCAGAACCAAACCAACCTCCATGGAGTCTCCAGCTCCACCATTCCCCTACACATCTCAGCTTGCAGCGCTTTACAGCACGGTCCTGTTTGGTGCATTTTGTTAAGGTGTGGTGAACAAACCTTTTCCCCCTCCAGATTCCGGGGACACTGGAATCTGGTGCATTTTTCTTCTCTGGGCTTGATCGTTGGACGGATTTCCCAAGGTTTCCTCTAGCTGCCTACGCGCTGCCCTTCGACAACTGGCTGATTCTTCTACCGGACGATCATTCTCCACGGCCTTGGAGCTTCCTCCGTCTACTACGCCCTAGATTTTAGTTTGTTTGGTTTGTCAGTAGGCATCACGTTCAGAGATTGCCGAGACTCTTCTCCTTCCAACGTTTATTTATAGAAGAATTAGAGAGCAGTTGCAAAAATGGATGGCCGATCTCCTGTACAGCGTGAGGGTGCCCCGATTATGTTCAAGTCCCCCAGTCTCTATCCCAAATCACCTGCATTCATTCCGTTTGGCGCCAACGATGACGAGCTGGAGAAGCGGAAGATTAGGGAGGAGCGTCAGGCAGCTCAGCGTAGGCTGTTCGCAGACCGAATGAAAGAAGCGAATAAGAAGCGCTCTAGCTGCGACCCTCAAGAGATGTCTGGAGATCGGCTGCTTACGTTGTACCAGAACTGCACTAAGCTGGCTGCTGAGAATGTAAGGTTTCCGAAAATGAGGTCACGCTGGCCACGGTTGCTTAATTTGGAGGACGAGTAGTGGGTAAATTGTCTGAACGAAGCTGACATCCCACCGACTTCGATCTGTGCAGAAAATCAATCAGAAGAACACATGGGATCTTGATCTCATTGACCACATGTCGGAAATCGTCAAGGCGGACTGCGAAAACGACACGCAGACTAACTTCCAGAAGGTTCGATTACGCTTTAATTTGCCAAATGGTCTTTGTTTCATCCTTTTACTAGCACCATCCGTCGTACCAATTCGACTTCCTTCCTACGACATGCTAGTTGCATCCTGAAGCTGATGTGAAGGTTTATTCTCTTGAGGCGCCTCAACAGATCCCTTGGTAGTATACTAATCAAGCTCCTGCTCTTATCCTTCGGACAGGCTAGCTGCACGCTGGAGGCTGGCGTGAAGATATATTCGTATCGAGTCGACTCCATCCATTCCGAGACGTACAAAGTGCTCAGCGGCCTGACGCGGGCAGGCGATACACGTAAGAGTACAGACCATTCAAATGTTCAAACAAGAAAAGATGCAGCCGTCGTTTTTCGTTCCATCTCGGTAGGTTGGTGCTGCTGTCACTGACTCCTTGGTCCTGCGTTTTTGCAGGAGAAGATGAAGAAGGGGCTGACCAGGAAGAAGGCAACGGCAGCCGGCGAGAGTCTCAGAAGAAGGTACCGGGACATCCGTTTTATGTTTGAAATTACTTGTGTGCGAAAGTCGAGGTGGCCTTACTTCCGCATGGCTTCGTTTGTGTTTCATTGTGCATGCAGCTGCCTGCAACATCCAGCACACTGGAGGATAACCTTGACCAAATCAACGTCAAGAAGCTTGAACGTGAGCCAAAGAAACGTAATTCTATCTAAATTACGTCATATATCATTCTATACTGACCTCGTAGTGATTTGTACCTGGATCTTCAGGTGCCATTGTCACGGACCCCCTTTTCACGAAAACTTCTGGTCAATTCGATGAGGGCGGTGCAAGCGGCTTGCTCCTGTACAATCTCCCCGTGTTCAACGGGTGCGAGATCATGTTCGATTCGGAGGCCATCATCGTCGACCCTTCACGCACGCAGCCGGAGGAGCAGGGGAAGGAATACGTGGATATCTCCTTTGCATCTCGTAAGTAGAAAGCTTGGTGTTTCCTACCGTAAATGCTTCTCTTTCCTCAGCCTTTTTTGTTACAAAAAAAAATAATCGCAACGACCACCTGGTGCTGCTTGGGTTTCGTGTTTCACCATTGGTTTCAATTCATAATCATCGAGCTGTGAAGTGAAAAGCCGTTGACGACGGATTTGCGTTGACATGCTCGTCTAACATTCCGTTCCACACATGAGCAATCAATCAGGCATTCATCGGACATATTTGTGCTGCATTGATCGCCGAATATCATGGGTAGACAATCCATTATGCATCGGACATGTTTGTGCTGCTTCGTGGCAGGCGAAGTGGAGCTCCTATTGAGCGCGGATGACCCTGAGAGCTGGGAGATCACTCCGTCCATCTCTGCTCTCTACGAGCTGGCTGAAGATAACCGCTGGAAGGCAGCTGTTGGTGCCTGTGCCAAGGACTCCTCTCATGACATGGATGGGAATGCCGTTAGGAGCGCAGAGGGATTTAAAGCGTTTGATGTGGGAGATGAACCAGTGGGTGGGGTGGGGGGAGGGTTTCCGTTTGGTGATGATAATGACGATGGATCTGTGGTCGATTTTGGTGGTGGGGATGACGGGTGGAATGATGATAGGTGTGGGTTCGCTGGCCCGCCGTTTGCTGGTGATGGTACTCCTGGGATGATCCCAGCTGGGGATTCTGATGGGGAGAACGGATATTCGGATGTTGATGATGGAATGGACGCTGCGGATTGGCTGGCAGCTGGCATGGGCATGACGAGGCTCAAGGGGAGCAACGCGTGGGCTGGCCCTAAGCACTGGCACTTTGTTAAGTCCAAGGAGGAGGTACCTGCAGCAGCTCCAGAGGCGAAGGGGAGGAAGAAAAGGACAGCAAAGTCGGAGCTTATTGACTTCTCGGACCCTCAAATCGACGAGTCCTTGTTTCAGGCCCCTAAAGCGCTGAAGGAAATTCAGCTGACGAAGGCTGGTCGCAAGGTGGTCAATACCTTGCTTCCGAAGGACTACCATTATGATGGACGCAAGTTGGCTACGGTTTTTATAAGCTCGGATTGGAGCTTCTTGGCTCGGAAGGCCAGGGGGCGTGGTGGCGCGAAGCAGGGGTTTGAGGATGGAGGAGGTGGAGATGGGTTTGCAGCAGTTGACGGTGGTGACGATGGGTTTGGGAATGACTGGGGAGGGGATGAGTGTGCTGATCCGTTTGACTATGGGGATGATTTTGATGGGCAAGGGGATTCTGCAGAGGTCAAACCAGCAGATGATTTCATGGAGGATCTGGTTCCAATGCCAAAGAAGGTGAGAATATCTTCAGCACTGTCCTGCTTCTCTCTGGTGGCCGTATGGCACCTATTATTTTTAAAATTCTCTGGTAGTGCTGATTGGCATCTTGGGGTGCAGTATGTGACTGGGTCTTGCCTTGCCTGCCTGTTCTCCACTCCTTCCGTCCACTTTATCCATCTTTTGTTATCCTTCTGCTTGCACCTCCACCTTCTCATCTCGGTTCCTGTTTGCGCGAATTACTTGGCAGGCACAAAAGATTGATGTCAACTATGCGAGACAGTCAAAGCAGGTGGATGTGAAGATTCTGAAAGACACGATCTGGGTGGAGCTACAACGTCACCATGGCTATGAGAAGGAGGAGCAGCAGGACGAAGGGGAATTTTCCTCAGGCCCGATCAGCTTTGATCGAGTGCTGCATAATTTCCCGGCCAACTGCAGAGCAGCTGCGCTGAGCGACATTTCAGTGCATCTGTGCTTCATCTGTGTGCTGCATTTGGCAAATGAGCATGATTTGCGTCTGCATGCGTCAGAGGATATGAATGAGCTCGACGTTCATCTTCCATGCGAGGTGTAGTATGGGGGCAAACGCTTATTGCCCGTTGTGTTTTGTTACGTACTGCATTATCTGTGTGTGCAGATCAATACATTTGTTATCTAGTTGTGATCGCATAGTCTATCCTACTTCTACTTGATGAGTGTGTGTTTGAACGTTGTCCAAGTAATGCTAGTGTAGTTTGAACAATAAAATATATATTTGCATCTGCCTTGGCAGCAATATTTTCCTGGTGTACTTCTGGAACCCTCGTTAATTCGATGTGAGCTGTCCTACATCGCGGATTCGGAACCTTCTGCTTCAAGCAAATTCTCAGTGCCTCTGATTTGCTCCTATGAATGCGCCCTGCGCTGTTACAGATTCCTAGTCTTATGATCCTCGTTACGATTCTCCGCGATAAGACCATCCTTGAGTCCTGAGGCGCAGCTGTACGTTTGGTCGTTTCGGAACGTTTAAACCATTGATCACCAGGGGTGAAGGTCAGCTGGAAAGAAACTGGATCAGAAACGAAGGATAGTCATTTACTAAGTGGATCTAGGAGAAGCCAGTTAGTCAGTCGGTTATTTGGTCAATTAGTAGGTCTGCAAGTTAGCCGGCAAGCTATTCGGCGTGCGATGGCCGATCCGCAGGGCGGCAGCACGTCTGGCCGTCTGAAGCTGTTCACGCGACGGCCGAAGAAGGCGCGAGAAACGGCAGGAGGTGAGGAGGGGTCTAACGCGGTGAGGAAGGGAACGAGATGAAGAGCGGTCTAGGGAGGTGAGAAAGGATCTAAGGAGGGAGGTGAGGAGGGGTCTAACGAGGCGAAGGGGGGTTAAAGCCGGTGAGGATGTCGGGGCTACAGCTGTAGCCAGAGCTCCCTTAGAGCCCCCCACCCGCTCCTCTTCTCCACCCACGGGTCTCTTCTCCCTCCGCTTCACCTCTCCCCTCGGATCTTTTCTCCCTTCTCTTCACCTCTCCCCACGGATCTTTTCTCGCTCCTCTTCACCTCTCCCCACGGATCCTCCTTCACAGTCTTTTTTTCTTCTTTTTCTTTGTCATTTATTCAAAACTAATCGCCTTACATTCCTACTCCGACCTCCTTCCCCTCCTCCCCTCCTTCCCTGTCCCTCTTCCCCCCTCCCCCCACTTCCCCCCTTCCCCCCTCCCTTCCTCTCTTTCCGCCACAGCTGCGGCCAGAGCTCCCCCGGACCTCCCCGCGCGCTCCTCCCCCTGGGGCATCTTCTCCCTCTTCTCCTCCCCCGCATCTCCGCCAACGCCCCTATCTGGGCAAGGGCCCAGGTCCGCGGGAGCTCCCCTTGGGTCAGCAGCTGGGGGAGCTCCCCGCCCCCCCCTGCTGTACCGCATGCGAGGAGCGTTCAGTTTCCTGCTCGCGCTCAACCTCGTGCTGGGAGGTACGTAGCAAATCCCCTTCTCTTGTTCCCCTTCCCGCTTCCCCTTCCCCCTTCCCGCTTCCCCCTTCCCCGCCTTACTCACCTCCCCCCCCCCCCGCCCTGCCTTGCTGTATCGCATGCGAGGGGCATTTGGTTTGCCTGCTCGCCCTCAACCTCGTGCTGGGAGGTACGTTCTGGGCGTTTCCCTTCCCCCTCCTTCCCCGTTCCCTTTCCCCCGTCCCCCTACCCCCACACGCCCCCCCCTGCTGTACTGCCATGCGCGGGGCGTTTGGGTTCCTGCTCGCGCTCAACCTCGTGCTGGGAGGTACGTGGTGGGTTGGGTACCCCCTTCCCCCTTTCTCCCCCTTATCCACCTCCCGCTCGGCCTTTCTTGCTGTACCGCATGCGGGGAGCGTTCAGTTTCCTGCTCGCCCTCAACCTCGTGCTGGGAGGTACGTGCCCCTTCTCCTTCCCCCTTTCACCCTTAAATCCCTCCTTCTGGGTTGTCTGGTCCGCAGTACCAAGGTCCGGGGGAGTTCCCCCTGGATCATCGGGGGGGTTCCCCCTGGATCATCGATAGCAGCAGTTCCCCGCCCCCTCCCCGCCCTCTGCTGTACCGCATGCGGGGGGCGTTCAGTTTCCTGCTCGCCCTCAACCTCGTGCTGGGAGGTACGTGTTTTGGTTGGTTCCCCCTTCCCTTCCTCCCCTCTCCCTATTCCCTTTCTCCTCCCCTTGTACCTTTCCTGACTTCCTTGCTGCCGCCTGCCTGGGGGGGGGTATGTTTTCATGCCGGATGCAAGGGGGAGGCACGTCCCCATGCCTTCCCCTCTCTCTCTCTCCCTCCGTCCTTATCCATCTCCTGGCCCTTCCTACACCAGGCTACATGCTGTTTAGAGGAAAGGCCTTGCTGAAAGATGCAGCACGAATGCCCGACACAGCCGAATTAGACGCTCTCATCTGCCCAATTGTCCCCTCCACATCCCTTCTCCCTCACTCTTTCTCTCCCTGCCCTTCGTCCACTACCCGCTACACCAGGCTACATGTTGTTTAGAGGCAAGGCCTTGCTGAAAGACGCAGCACGAATGCCCGACACAGCCGAATTAGATGACGAGAAAAAACGCAAAAATGAGGAGAAAGCAGGAGGAGAGTCTGCTACAGCTGTTGCTGCTGCTGCTGGTGCTGCTGGTGGTACAGCCGCTACAGATCCTGCCACCGCCACCGCCACTGCTCCTGGTATCGGTTCCGAGGAAGGTTCCCATGCAGCTTCCTCCTCGGCCCCCAAACGGACGTCTGAGATGCAATCGTGGGATATGGAGGCGATGGTTGGCCCTGCAGGTGTGACTGTAACGGGGGATGGTGCTGATGATGGTGCAGGAGAAGGGTCTGGAGTGACTGGGTTGGCTTTTACGGGCGGGCAGGTGTCGAAAATTGATCTTGACGGGCAGCTGGAAGTTTTGAAGTGGATATTGGATGTGAAGAGAAAGGAGCAAGTGGGAGTGACTAGGGAGGAGAGGAGGAGGATAGATGAGCAGAAGAGGTTATTGAAGGATTATATCAAGGCAAAGAAGCACTTGCCCTTAGATTTGTGAAAGGATTGGTTATAGGAGGTGTAGGTAGGTAGCATATGCTAGGTACCCTGTTTTGAGGGTGTAGATTCTGGCAGGTTACAGTACTCTACTTGAAGTAAAGAGCAGGGGAACTTACTGAAGGTTAATATCGAAGCTAACGCCTAAGTGCACACTTCTCTTTTGGTATGGTATGTAAAGGGATGGGTCATGGATTGTTTATGGAGTAGAAGGATTAGTTCACGAGTAACACAAACCCCAAGACACAAGGATTAGTTCATGAGTGCCACAAACCTCAGGATAAAGAAGCTACGGTACTCACACATACCGATGTACATACAACACTTGCACACACAGATACCTCACACAACAGTCCTGCTATTTCTACTATGTCTTCTCCCCTACTTCCTCCTCCACCTCCTTACCTTCCTCCAATCCCCTTTCCATTTCTCCCCTTACATCCAAGTCCCCACTTCCTTTGGTTCCCATCTGTACAGCAGAGCAGCCGCAGTATGGACGAACAATTATGTGAGACAGAACAGAATTGATTGATGGGGGAGTTCAGTTAAGAAGAGGGAGGGACCTGGGGGGATTCTGGGTTGGAAGAGCCACACGAGACAGAATGAGAGGTAGGCTGGTGGGGAGGAGCAAGGGACTGGGAGTCCCTCGGAGAGGCGCAATCTTTGGTTGGGGTTTGGCCGGGGCGAAAGAACATAGGCGAGTGCAGGACGGGGCGTAGCAGCAGCAGAAGCAGCAGCGGCAGCATCATTATCAGCAGCAGGGGTGGCAGAGGCAGTGCATGCAGTGTCAGAATAGCTGCTGGTGCCACCAGATGCAAGCAAACCAGAAGCAGATTTTTGAGTCTGACTCAAAAGTCATGATGGGGCGTAGCAGCAGCAGCAGCAGCACTGGTATCAGCAGCAGGAGTGGCAGTGCGAGCAGCGGCAGCATAGCTGCTTATGCCACTAGGAGCAAGCATACCAGAAGCAGGTTCCGGCTGCTTTTGTTTCAGTTCCAGCTGCTTCAGTTTCGCTTCTGTCTGCTGCTGCTGCTGCTGCTGCGACTGAGTCTGCTTTGCTTGCTTCTGCTGCAACTGCCATGCTGTCTTGGGTAGTGTCCCTTCCTCTGCCTTCGTCCCCATTGCCTCAATCACTGCCTGCTTTGGCAGCTGCTGTGCTGACTCGTATGGCAGTTGTTTTGACAGCACCACAACTGGTTGTTTGACCATCTGAGCTGGCCCTTGCAGCGGTGGCGGCTGTTGCAGCAGCAGCTTCGCCAGGTTGGCAGCAAGGATTGCAGCAAGCCAGTTGTCGAGCGTCTTACTGTCGAACAGGACAAAGTGCACCTGTGGGCAGGGCGGGGCATGTCAGGCTCGTGAGCGGGATAGGCAACCAGCAGCAGGTTGGCAGAACGGATTGCAGCAAGCCAGTTGTCGAGGATCTTCCTGTCGAACAGGACAAAGTGCACCTGTGGAGGAGGAGGAGGAGGAGGAGGAGGAGGAGGAGAAGCATGACGACGACGATGAGAAGACTTTTGAGGCGCCTCAAAAGTCTCCTGTGGAGGCGGAGGAGAAGCATGACAATGACCGGGGAGAAGGCAAAGAGAGCAAGGGGGGAGTAGATAAGATAGGAGAAGGGAGGAGGGCGATGGGAGAAGCTAGGAGGGGGGACGGAAAAGGAGTTTCCTCTCGCACAGACCCCCATGGTTTGTCACTTCTGGAAATACTTGAACCTAAAACGACGGAATGAAGCTTTGGAGGGGGAGGGGTAGCAGAGAGGTTGGGATTCGAAGGTGCCCCTTGCACAGAAGAGGAAGAGGAGAAGGAGTGACTTTTGAGAATTCTCAAAAGGAAGAGGAGAAGGAGTGGCTTTTGAGAATTCTCAAAAGTAAGAGGAGAAGGAGAAAGACATACCTCTTGCACAGAAGAGGAAGAGGAGAAGGAGAAAAAGGTACCTCTTGCACAGTTCCCCATGGTTCGTTGCACAAGACCTCGATTGCTGCCTGGGCGGCCTTTGTAGGGGGGTAGCTGGGGAGAGCACAGCAATGGAAGGAGCATACAGAGCATACATAATGAGGAGCGAGTTGATGGAGATAAAGAGGAGATGAGAACACACTATTCTATACACGCATGAAGAAAGAAATTAAATATAAAAATATATTAGATATATATAAAACAGGAATAAGCTGAATAATTTGGATGACCACTCTGCTAGAGAAATGCGCACATACGGACACTCAGGGGAAAGAATAGCCATACCCCAAAATGCCGCATGATATTGCAGGTATGGCGACATGCTTGATTGAATGCTTGTTAGCCTCCCTCAGTATGCTCCTGTGCGGAGGAGAGGAAAGCGAACAGAGAGAAAGCACGCAGTTAAGTGGTAGGGGTGAATGAGGGTGGGTGCACATGGGTGTGGCGATGTGCTTGATTAAATGCTTGTTAGCCTCCCTCAGTATGCTCCTGTAAAAAAAAAGAAGGCAGAGCAAACATGTGGTGGGGTGGGTGGAGTGGGTGGAGTGGGTGAGAGTGGGTGAGAGTGGGCGAGAGTGGGTGAGAGTGGGTGAGAGTGGGTGAGAGTGGGTGAGAGTGGGTGAGAGAGGGTGAGAGTGGGTGAGAGTGAGAAGGGGTAGGGTGAGAGTGGGTGAGAGTGAGAAGGGGTAGGGTGAGAAGGGGGAGTGACAGAGGAGTCCGGTCAAGGAAAGCTCTTACTTCCAGAAGGAGGAACGAGGAGGAGGGGGGGGAGGTAGGGAGGGGGAAGGGGAGGAGGAAGGTGAAGGGGGGAAGAGGAGGGGGAAGGGGAGGAGGAAGGGGAGGAGGAAGGTGAAGGGGGGAAAGGGAGGGGTTGCTGATACGCGATTGAAATTATACCCTTTCACCTAGCCGCGTGTAAGAATCCCCCTCGACTCACCTGTAGGTGCCCTTCAGGAAGGGCGCTGACACAAGTTCTGAATGATACGTAGGCCCCACCGCATGGACCACCCAGCGCACTGGCAGGTTGGCGGCACTGCAGGAGGGGGGTATGGGGCGGGTAGAGGAGGCGCGAGTATGAGCCTCTGAACAGAAAGGTGTTCTAGATGCAAGTGGTGTCTGGTACACTGGCCCCACCGCATGGATCACAATGCGCACTGGCAGGTTGGCGGCACTGCAGAGGATGAGGCACAATTAGCAATGCGGCATGGAAATGTGGGAAATGGCAGAGACATTGCAGCAGAAAATAAGATTCTCCACATCACATCATCCCAGGCGATCACTCACCCTGTGGTCAACAGCAACCCTTGAATTGCAGAGAAATTGCTGCAGAGAATAAGACTCTTCACATCACATCATCCAAAAGAATCTAGTTTGAGTCAACTCAAAACTCGACTCTTCGCATCACATCATCCAAGAATCTCTCACCCTGTGGTCAAGGTCAGCAGCAACCCCTGCATTGCAGAATATTGGCTGCAGAAGATACGACCCTGTGTTCACATCACATCACATCATCCCAACCCAGGTTTTGAGTCGACTCATAACTGTGTTCACATCACATCACATCACATCACATCACATCATCCCAGCCCAGGTGATCACGGTGATCACTCACCCTGTGGTCACAGCATCTCCCGTCTCGCAGCGAATGCCATTCCTCAGCACTGGCAGCTCAAACCAGAGCTTCTTGAGGGCGGGGCCTGCTGCCTTGTGGATGGCTGGAAGGAGAAGGGATAACAAGGAGAGAAGAGAGGGAAATTAGAGGGAAACGGAGAGAAGAGGGAAATTAGAGGGAAACGGAGAGAAGAGGGAAATTAGAGGGAAACGGAGAGAAGAGGGAAATTAGAGGGAAACGGAGAGAAGAGGGAAATTAGAGGGAAACGGAGAGAAGAGGGAAATTAGAGGGAAACGGAGAGAAGAGGGAAATTAGAGGGAAACGGAGAGAAGAGGGAAATTAGAGGGAAACGGAGAGAAGAGGGAAATTAGAGGGAAACGGAGAGAAGAGGGAAATTAGAGGGAAACGGAGAGAAGAGGGAAATTAGAGGCAGAGTCTCAGGAGGGTTGGGCCTGCTGCCTTGTGGATGGCTGGAGGGCGGGGGGAGAGGGGAAAGAGCGCAAATCAGAGGGAGATGTAGGAAAAAGACACGAGAGAAGAGAGAAGAGAGAAGGAAGAAGAGAAGGTTGTGGCAGAGGTTCAAGAGGTTCGCGGCTGTTGCCCTGTGGATTCGTTGAGGGGGGAGGGGAGGCTAGTTTTGAGGCGCCTCAAAACTAGACTGTTGCCCTGTGGATTGCTTGAGGGGGGAGGGGAGGCTAGGGAGGCGCGATAAGAGGGAGAGCGAGCGGAAGGGATGGAGAGTGGAAGGGAGACTCTGAAGGACAGCGAGGGGAGGCAGGGGAGAGGCGAGCAAAAACGAAACCGAGAAAATAGGAACGGAGGGAGAGGGAGAGGTTAGGAAGGAAGAGAGAAAAGCAAAGCTGCAAAATATATGCACAGAATCGTTTGAACCTTTCCGATGGGATGGACTTTTTGGGTGGAAGGCGAAACGGAGGGAGGGAGGGCAGGTGGATGGCTGGGTGAGAGAGATAGGAGATAGCACGAGGGCGGGTGAAGGGAAGAGAGGAAGAGAAGGAGAGAGGGGGCGTGAGTGAAAAAGTGAGGGAGGGAGAGGGGGTACTGAACCCAGGGGAATGCTTTGCTACCCTGGAGGGCTCGATAGGGAAGGGGATAGTTAGTCTGATGGCTTGCCATGTTGGCTCTACTTGCTCTTGACTGTACAACACGTTCTATATCAATGAAATGGTCATTTGAGAGGGGGGGGAGAAGTAAGAGTGATAAAGAAAACATGTCTCTCATCTCATCTCACCAAATTCTCTCTTCCCCCGCCCACCATTCTCTCCTCCTCTATTACCCTTCTTCCAACTCCTCTTCCCCCCTTCTCCCCACGTCTCTCATCTCATCTCACCTGCATCCAAGCCAGCCCAGCCTGGAGCCTTCTCGTTTGTGGTATTAGCCTGTGTGCCACACGAGAAAGGATGAGGGAAGGTGAGAGCCACACGAGAAAGGATGAGGGAAGGTGAGAGCCACACGAGAAAGGATGAGGGAAGGTGAGAGCCACACGAGAAAGGATGAGGGAAGGTGAGAGCCACACGAGAAAGGATGAGGGAAGGTGAGAGCCACACGAGAAAGGATGAGGGGAAGTGAGAGGGGAGGCGGTGGAACGTACTATTAGTCAACTTCAAAGGCATTAGGTTGAAAAGGCTTTGTCACAAATTCGGTGAATATGAGAAGATTGCAAAAATACGGTCTCTCTCCTCAAACAGTCACCCCCCTACATCACACGCCTTGAAGTCAGCTTCACCCTTGTCCCACCCCATACAGTCACACCTCTTAACAGTCACTCACAATGGCATCAGTCGCACCGTCCACACACCACTTGGTGATATCCCCCCGATGCACCACCAGCACTCGGCGGCAATCAGACGCACGAGCAGCACCGAGGGGAGGAGGAGGTGGGATTGCAAACGCAGCAGTGTCAGAAAAGAGTTTCCTCTGAGACTGGTGGACGGTGTATGAAGGGAGCGGCAGGTTGGGGATAGGAGCCCGGACCGCACTAACAGCAGCAGTTGCGGCAGCAGAGGCAGCAGGTGAAGGAGCAGCAGCTGAGACAGCTGGAGGAGATGAATCAGGTTGATTGGAAGCCATGGCGTCGGTCAGACACTTAGCGAGCGGGACACTTAGGGGTTGAGGCCGAGCGGGAGATCCGGTCGTAGCTTAGGATAAGCCGCTGCTCTGACACTTAGGTCGTCAGAGCAAAGTAGCTTCTCAACCGCTTAAATACGTCGGACTATCTCGTTCGGGTTGGAGTTCGACTCGCGGGACTGCTGCGGACCGCGGCGTGGCCATCCAGTCCAGTGTGGTTCGAAGCGCGCAGCCATGCAGTGCGCGGCGTTGCATATCCTTCCGCGGTTAGACGCATGCCTAAATTCCGAGGTCCCACCCCGAAAATATTTTTTTGTGCCGTGCATATGCCCGAACCGCGAAAGCAAGGCACCCGTATATTCGACGCCTTACGTTACGACGACGGGGACTGTGGTAGTATACGAGGCACGAGGCACGACGCATGGCGTTAAGACGCGGAGTGACGACACAAATGTCCATAACGTCTCCAGCCATTGATCTGGAGCCTCGAGCTCCGCAAATGCGGTATGGGGGATGCAAGCGACCCGAGGAACGATGCATGCTGCCTCGACGGCCCTGTTTCACGACTCGCGATGGGTGACGGCGGACATTACTACTAGGCGCGAATACTAGTGACTAGTAAAGCGTGAATCCAGCCTTGCGGCGCGTTAAAGGCGTGGATGCTTTACAGCAGTGGACAAAGAAGGACGGTCAGTGGATTGGGCCACATAGAAAGTGGGATTTATTTTCCTAGTTTCCCTAATTTGTACTCGTTCTGGGAATGCCAGCGCTAGCAAATCGTTACATTGGTTGGCTACATTGTAAAACAAGTCACATTGCAGAGGAGGAAGTGGCAGTCCCAAGATCCAGCAAAAATAGTTTCATTTCCCAGGGATTGTTTTTGCAAACAGCCGTTGACTACCTTTGCAACGGGATGAGAGGACACATGACATGAACAGCAGCAAAAAACCAGGGTAAAGTTACACTAAGTATTTACAACTTATTTACAAAGGTAGGGACTCCACAAAGGCAGCACTTACAGGCCTCAATACCCTCTCTACTTCTTATTCTTCTTCCTGTTTTCCTTCTGTTTTTTCTGCTGATATTTCGACGGTTTTTCTATTGGAGAAGATATCTTTCCCTCCTCATACCTCTCCTCTCCCTGCTCATCCCATCCCTCCCCCACCTCTTCTCCAACTTCTCCTTCCTCCAATTCCCCCTCCCTTCCCCTCTTCTCCACCCCTTGCTGCTGCTCCTCCAACTGGCCCCTTCCCTCTCCCTCACATGTGTGCATTTCCCAGCTCCCTCCATTTCCAGTATCCCCACTGGCAATTCCGATGTCCAGATTCTGTGAATCAGGAGAAGCAGCATCTCCCAAATCCAGATTCTCTGAATCAGGAGAAGCAGCATCTCCCAAGTCCAGATTCTCTGAATCAGGAGAAGCAGCATCTCTGAAGTCCAGATTCTCTGAATCAGGAGAAGGGGCATCTCCCAAATCCAAATTCTCTGAATCAGGATAAGGGGCAGAGAGTGGGACTGATGCAGCAACCAGAGTCAGCTCCAGTGCAGAAGCAGAAGAATTTGCAGCTGCTGGAGCCGAGGATATTTTCCCAGCAGGAGAAGAAGATTGGCCAGCAGCAGGAGTGGCAGGTGCGGAACCAGGAACAGCAACAGTAGGAGCAGTATCGACAGATGCAGTGGCAGACGGAACAGCAAAAGCAGCAGCATCATCAGAAGCATTGGCTACTTTTGCCCCTTCTGGTTCTGATACGGGAACGGGTAGCAGGAATGCTGGTGCTGTTGGTGCTGGTGCTGGTGCTAGTGGTGCTGGTGGTGCTTCTGTTCCTGCTACTTCCCTGTATGATTCTGCTTTTGCTGATGCTGGTGGTGGCATAGCCGCTGGTGCCTCTGCTGCTGCATCTTTCACTCCTTGCACTAATACATCGCCACCCGTTGCTGCATCACTGCCAGCCATTGCTGCGTCACCACCAACCATTGCTGCGTCACCACCACCCGTTGCTGCATCACCACCAGCAGCTTTTCTTTTCCAATAACCAAAGCAGCCATCAGCACTACCAAAGCCACTGCTGCTAAAGACGCTACCAGCCAGATTACTCTTTCTCCAACCAAGGTTGTGCTCTCTGTGCCCTCTACCCCAACCCATACCAGGAGTACGGCTGCTATCCCAGCCAGCAACAATGTTTCCACTCCAACCGTTGTTGCCTACATTAACCGAGGGAGGTGCAGCAGGAGAAGAAGCTTGAGCAGCAGGTGACGCTGTAGCTATATCAGCCGGAGCAGCATTTGGAGCTACAGCAGGAGAGGCAGCTTGAGAAATAGCACAGGCGGAAGCTGGGGGGGCAGCCAAAGCAGCAGGAGGAGCGGAAGTTGTAGCAACCGGAGCAGCAGACTGAGGTACAGCAGGAGAGGCAGCTTGAGCAGCAGCAAGACTGGAAGCTGGAGTGGCAGTCAAATCAGCACGTGGAGCTGGAGCTGTAGCTGTAGCAGCCGGAAGAGCATATTTAGCTACAGCAGGAGAGGCAGCTTGAGCTGCAGCAAGAGTGGAAGCAAGAGCAGCAAACAAAGCAGCAGCTGGAGCTGTAGCCGTAGCACCTGGAGATGAAGCCGTGACAGTCTGAGTAGCAGCCGTCACTGCAGCCGGAGGCACAGTCGGAGATGCACAAGGAGCGTTGGTCACAGAGGCAGCTGGAGGGGCAGCCGGTGCAGCGGCCGGCGCTGCAGCAGGAGGTACAAGTGGAGTTGCAGAGGCATCCGGAGCAGCAGCCGGCGCTACAGCAGGAGGTACAACCGGCGCTACAGCAGGAGGTACAACACGCGCTACAGCAGGAGGTACAACCGGCGCTACAGCAGGAGGTACAACCGGCGCTACAGCAGGAGGCACAGTCGGAGATGCACAAGGAGCTTTGATCACAGAGGCAGCTGGAGGAGCGGCCAGTGCTACAACCGGCGCTACAGCAGGAGGTACAGCCAGAGGTAAAGCCAAAGCTTCAGCAGGAGCTGTAGTCACAGCGGCAGCTGGAGGGGAATACGGAGAAGCATCTAGGGCAGCAGCCCAACTATCGAAGGACCTTCCACTCTCTCCAACCACCTTCTCCATCGTCTTGTCCTGTCTTCCCCGTGCCTCCCCCTCCTCTATACCCCATACTATCCTCTCCACTGGTTCCCATATTTCCTCGTCCTCCCGCTCCTCCAGATGCAACAAGTTTGCTACCTCGACTGAGTTACTGTCTCTCATTACCACATCCCCATCGCTGTCCCTATCAACAGTGCCTTCTCCCATGTGGTTACCACCCTCCTTGCTAATATCACCCTTCTCCCCTCGGTCACCAGCAACTTCCTTCCCCTTTCCTTTCTCGCCTTCCATCCCCCCACCCGTCCTCCCAATAGCTCCCCTTCCCTGCACCTGCTCATCCCCATCGCTCAGCAGTAAACCAGTGGAATGGGTAGGGGCAGGAGCAGGAGCAGAGGCAGAGAAAGTTGAAGCGGCAGCAGCAGGGGCAGGGGAAGGGGCAGAGGTGGAGGCAGGCGCAAAGGCAGGCTGCTTCTGGCTCGTATCCGCCTTCTGCTTCTTAGTCTGCTGCTGTGCCTGCTCCTGTTGCTGCTGCAATGGCTTCTGAAGCTGCTTCTCCTGTTGCTGCTTCTGAGGCTGCTTCTGAGGTTGCTTCGGGGACTGCTTTTGCTGCTGCTGCTGCTGCGGCTTTAGTTCTGCTTCTGGCAATGGCCCTTTATCTGCAAGCAGCTTTGCTTGCTGCTGTGTAGGCTGTGAAACTTGCGTATGTAACTTCTCAGGTTGCTTTTCTTGCTGCTGCTGAGGCCTTGTTGCTGCTGGTGATGACCCTTTCTCTGCATGCTGCTGTGCAGGCTGTGGGAGCTTCCATGCTTGCTGCTGTGTCTTCTGTGGGACCAGCGGCAGGGGTTTCTCAGGCATCTCCTGTTGCTGCTGCGTCTGCTTCTGAGGCTGCGCCTCAGGCTGCTTGTGCTGCTGCTTATGTTGTGGTCCCTGCTGTGCATGCTGATCTGGGTGCTGCGGTAGCTGTTGCACTCCCTGCTGTTGCAGCAGTTGCAGCACTTGCTCACTCTTTTCCTGCCATGCTGGTCTTGCTGCATCTCCTCCTGCGCCTCCCACCTGCTGAATCGCCTTCTTCCCAGTCCCCTCTTCCACCTCCCCTTTAACCACCTGCTTTGGCGGTTGCTGCTGTGGCGGCAGTTTCTGCTGCTGCCGTATTTGCTGAGGCAGCACTTGTGGTGGCTCTTGCGGCTTCTCTTCCCTCTGATGCTTTGTCGCCTTCCCAATTGGCTTTTCTCCCCCCAGCTTCGACTTTTGGGGCGCCTCAAAAGTTACCGGTGGTGGCTCTTGCGGCTTCTCTCCCCCCTGCTGCTTTGTCGCCTTCCCAATCGGCTGCATCCCCCCTTGCTTTGTTGGCTGCTGAGACAGCAGCTCCTCATTCCCTTTCTTCCATACCACCTGCTGTGTCGATTTCTTCCCAGTTACCTCTTGACCTCCCTGCTTCAATTGCTGCCATGTCGACTCAAGCCCCTGTTGCTGAGGCAACAGCTCCTCGTTCCCTTGCTTCCATGCTGACCTGGCTGCTCCTCCTACCTCTGCCTCCAGCTGTTTCTTCCCAGTTCTCTCTCTCGCTCCCTGCTTTGAGAGCTGCTGTGTCGACTCAAATGGCCACTGCTGCGGGGAAAGTTGCTGCGGCGGCGGCATAGGTGGCTGTAGCTGTTGTGGTGGTTGTCGTTGAAGCAGCAGCTGTGGCAGGTTGGCAGCATGAATGGCAGTCAGCCAGTCGTTGAGCATCTTACCGTCAAACAGGACGAAATGCACCTGTGGGAGGAGCATAGCATAGCATGGGCGTGCAGAGAATATGTTCAGGTTGTTGCAGCTACACAAAGCACTGCAAAGTACCCCCGTTGGAGTTTGCTTTTGGGGCGCCTCAAAAGTTGCAGCTACACAAAGCACTACAATGGACCTCCGATGGAGTTTTCTACGACTCACAACGGGCAAACGCAAGCACGGACGTCTTGCAAGGAGGAGAACATGATCCACAGGTTGGGCTTGCACTGATCCCCAGGGTTGGATTAGCATAGCAAGACGACACATGTGAGTGCGTACCTCTCTTGAGTACGTACCTCGTGTGAGACCCCACCACATGTGACAATTGGTACCTACACAGCATACCTCATGTGAGTACGTAACATACCTCTTGCACCGACCCCCAGGGTTGGGTTAGCAAGACTTCCAGGGCATCTTGGGCGCCCTTCACGGGGGGGTAACTGACAGTAGGGAGATAGTAAACAAAACAGCAGAGAGTATTCTTGAATCAGACTCAAAAAACTCCACATAGCAACAGGACAGCAGAGGCGCAATCAGAGATTGAAGCTCGAGTTTTTGAGACTGTCTCAAAAGTCAGGAAATGAAATCATCGCACAGCAGTGCGACAGCGGAGACGCAATCACGAATTGAAGCTTGAGAATGTTTGAGGAGATGGAGTGTACCCGAAAATGCCGCATGATATTGCAGGAATCGCAATATATTTGGCACAGCACTTGTTGGCCTCTCTTAGAATGCTCCTGTGAGGCAGTTTCAATTGGGCAGACAGATGAGAGGATGGTGTTAGTATAGGTAAGTTGCTGGTTGCATAACTGAGTGGGTGCGTGAGAGTGAGGGAGCGAGGGAACGCAGAAACAACAATGTGCCGAGCCTCACTGCCAAGCAGACAGAACGCTCAACACAACACAGCGAAGCATAGCAAAGAACAGCTTCCTCGCTGTGCAGAGAGGCACCGCTCCCTGCAGCACGATCCGGCACAGCACAGCATGGCACACACCTGTATGCAGATTTCAGCACGGGTGCTGATACTTGATCGGACCGATACCTCGGCCCCACAGCATGGATCACCCAGCGCACAGGCAGGCCTGCCGCCCTGCAGAGTGAAGCAAACATGCCGTGGGTGCAAGAGACGAGAGGAGAGCATGAGAGAAGAGAGCATGAGAGAGCGAGGTTGCAGCAATAGAGGTGCCTCAGTCCCACAGCATGGATCACCCAGCGCACTGGCAGGCTGTCCGCGCTGCCGATAACAGGGTGAGTAATCATTATTCCACGCTTCCATGTCAGAGTTCAGACCACAAGCCCTCATGGAGCCACGTGAAAGAAGGAGTGTTTTGAGACGTCTCACATGAAAACACTCCTTCTTTCACGTGAGTTCAGAGCACAAGCCCTCATGGAGGGAGAGATTGACCACCTCAGCATGTGCCCCGAGCCCATTCTCCAGCTTCAGATGCCATGGGCCCGAAGTTGCACACATAAGTGCCCGAATTGCCCGAAGAACCCTCCAAGACATGGAAGCACTTCAAGACATGGGAACTGACAGCTGCTCTATGGAAGTATGATGCACTCACCCTGTGGTCACTACCCCTCCTGCTTCACTGCGATCCCCATTCCTCATATGGCTGGGTCGTCTTTTGAGGCGCCTCAAAATATGGCTGGGTCGTCTTTTGAGGCGCCTCAAAATATGGCTGGGTCGTCTTTTGAGGCGCCTCAAAATATGGCTGGGTCGTCTTTTGAGGCGCCTCAAAATATGGCTGGGTCGTCTTTTGAGGCGCCTCAAAATATGGCTGGGTCGTCTTTTGAGGCGCCTCAAAATATGGCTGGGTCGTCTTTTGAGGCGCCTCAAAATATGGCTGGGTCGTCTTTTGAGGCGCCTCAAAATATGGCTGGGTCGTCTTTTGAGGCGCCTCAAAATATGGCTGGGTCGTCTTTTGAGGCGCCTCAAAATATGGCTGGGTCGTCTTTTGAGGCGCCTCAAAATATGGCTGGGTCGTCTTTTGAGGCGCCTCAAAATATGGCTGGGTCGTCTTTTGAGGCGCCTCAAAATATGGCTGGGTCGTCTTTTGAGGCGCCTCAAAATATGGCTGGGTCGTCTTTTGAGGCGCCTCAAAATATGGCTGGGTCGTCTTTTGAGGCGCCTCAAAATATGGCTGGGTCGTCTTTTGAGGCGCCTCAAAATATGGCTGGGTCGTCTTTTGAGGCGCCTCAAAATATGGGTGGGTCGTCTTTTGAGGCGCCTCAAAATATGGCTGGGTCGTCTTTTGAGGCGCCTCAAAATATGGGTGGGTCGTGGCACAGCTTCAAGAAAACCTGAGCCTACAGCCATGTACCCTAATGCCTGCCGGCCCCTCTCTTACTCGTTACAGTCACTCACCCTGTGGTCACAGCATCCCCTGTCCTGCACCGATCACCATTCCTCAGAGTTGGCAGATCGTAGCAGAGCTTCAGGAGGGCCGGGCCTGTTGCCCTGTGGATGGCTGGAGGGCGGAGGAGGGGGGAAGAGGGGTGAGAGAAGAGATTAAGTGGCGGGTGGATGAGAGGAGGAAGCGAAAAAGGAGGTCAGGGGGGGAAAGAGAGGGGTTGAGAGGATAAGTGGAGAGGCAGTAGCGAACACCTTACCCTTCTCCCCTCCTCCCGTTACCTTCTGCCTCTCTCATAATTTTCTGGCCCCCCCTCTCCCTTTCCCTTTTTCCCTTTCCCTAAGCTCATCTCATCTCATCTCATATCTTCTCACCTCCATCCACTCCCGCACCGCCAAGAACCCTCTCGTTTGCAGCATTGACCTGCCATGCCATGCCATCCACACGAAAGGAACAAGGGAAGTTGAGACTCAAAATGGTGTAAGGTGGGCAAGGCCCGAAAGGGTAGGATCGAGGTTGCGCGAAACGTGACAGCTGAAAGATATGGTGCCACTCTACTTTTGAGGCGCCTCAAAAGATGTGGTGCCACTCTACTTTGAGGCGCCTCAAAAGATATGGTGCCACTCTACACCTTGCTCTCATATCGTGTCTCTTTACAAACACCCTCATTGCAGCCATCCTCCTTACAGTCACCCACCTTGAAGAGTCACCCTCACTACACTCACGCCCTTTACAGCCACCCACAATGGCAATAAATGCACCGTACAATCCATAGTTGCAAGAACCATACCTGTCTACAACACCACGCCCCATTACACTCATCCTCCTTACAGTCACCCTCTTTACCACTCACAATGGCATCGGTCGCACCGTCCACAAACCACTTGGTGATATCCCCCCGATGCACCACCAGCACTCGGCAACCAGCCGCACGAGTCATGTGTGAGTGAGTGCCAGGCGAATTGGCGAGAGCGGGAGGAGGTAGGGCTGCAAACGCAGCAGAGTCAGAGAAGAGATTTGCCTGCGATGGGTGCATGGTGTATCGGGGTAGGAGGTCTGAGCGGAAGAGCTCAGCACTGGGGGAGGCATAGGCATGAGGGAGAGGTGGCGGCGATGGGAGGGTTGCTGCTGACGACATGATGATGATTGAATCATGCTCTCTCTCTGCCTCGGTTCTGTGCCTCCCATGCTGCCTCTGCTGCGATTCTTGAGGCCCCTCAAAAAGGAGTTCAGCACTGAGGGAGGGATAGGCAAGAGAGAGTGGTGGTGGAGGTGGGAGAGGTGCTGACGACATAATGATGCGATCATGCTCTCTCTCTGCCTCGTCCCCGTGCCTCCCATGCTGGCGCTGCTGCTCATCGTGCTGCTCCTGATGGTGCTGCTGGTGCTGTTGCTGGTGCTGCTGCTGCTGCTGCTGCTGCTGCTGCTGCTGCTGCTGCTGCTGCTGCTGCTGCAGCTGCTTCTGATACTCTTGGTACCGTTGATACTCCTGCCACTGTTGCTGGAAATACAGCTCTTGCTGCCGCTGCTGCTGCTGCTGCCACTGCTCCTGTTGCACGAGAGCCTGCCGCTCCTGCTGCTCTCGCTCCCAGTCCACCTCACCATCTTCCACTCCCGCTCCCGTGCCCACTCCCTTCCCTGCACTCCTCCCCCTCTCCCCCCTCTTCTCTGCTCCCTCTCCTCTATGCGCGGTTGTCACATCCTCCATCTCCGTATCACCCCTGCCGCTCCCTCCCTCTCCCCGCTCACCTCGAGGCACGAGACCCACGAAACCCAGAGCCTTTCCAGCAGCTCCAACCACAACCCCATAGAAGCTTTGCAGAGCCCACCAACAAGCCCAGAACCTGCCCCTTGCACTTTCCTCACGCTCCCCTTGCACATCAACGTCAACCCCCTCTCCTCCTTCCACACCCATCGCTCCCTCCGCAATCTGACGCTCACGAGAAAGAAGCAATGGCTGGGACTCCTGATCCTGGGCCATCTCCACGGATATTTCCTCAGGTGCTTCTTCAGATGATTCTTCAGGTGGTCCCTCAGGTGGTTCCTCAGGTGCCACGTCAGATGCCTCACGCGGATGCAGAAGATGAGTTGAGAGAAGATGGGAAGGGGCACGGTAGTGGTGGTGGTTGTGGTAGTAAGGAGCGCTAGCAGCAAGAGCATGCACCCCGATGTCTCTGCCCACCCCTGCAGTGCTCCACTTTGGCTTTGTGCTCCTAACCGGCCTTGTGCCCCTAATAGGCCCGTTCAAGCTTGTGCTTGGTCTATTCGGCAGGCGCCACGCTGCTGATGCTGCTGCTGTTGCTCCTGCTGCTCTTGTTCCTGCTGATGCTGCTCCAACGCTTGCTGCTGCTGGCACCGCTGCTGCTGGTGCCCCAACGTCCCAACGCCGTCCCTGCCGCTTCCTTTCTGAGCCTTTCCCCTCCCTCCCCTCCATCTCTCCCTCCTCACTCCACTCTCCTTTGCCACCCATAGCGGAAAATTCCCTCGCTTCCTTGCCCTCTCTCTTTCGTTTCATCTCCTCCACCCCTCCCCCTCTGACAACACCCCCCCCAGAAACAGTAGAATCCAGAGGTCGCCCTTCAGTCTTATTGTCTTCTTCAGTCTCCAGCCGTTCTTCAACCTCCCTTCTGCCTGCAATCCCTGTACGCTCTCCTATGGCCTGTGACCCTTCTTCGTTGTGGGGGCGCACTTCGCGCCCTTCAGTCTGACTCTCTTCTTCACTCTCTGTAATTTCTGTGCGTTCTTCAGTCTCCCAGGAACCCTCTACTTCGTCCCCTTTGCCAAAAATCTCAGCAAAAGTCGCAGCAAATCCAGCCTTTGATCTCTCTGCCTTCCCTGCAGCAACTCTCGCCTCAACCACCGCTTTCCCAGCAGCTTCCGCAGCAAAAACAGCCTCTGCAGCAGCGGCTGTTGCCTCCGCCTTGGCGGCTGCCGCCCTGCCAGCCGCAGATGCTGCCAAACGCTGCAGTTCCGACGCGGTTTCTGCTGCTTCTGCTGCCTCTGCAGCAGCTGTTGCAACCTCTTGGCGCAGAGAGGCGAGGTTGGCGTATGCAGCTTGTGCAGACCCTGCTCTAGAAGAGAGTTCAGGACGAGAGGGAGGAGGAGGAATGGGAGGAGGAAAGGCAGGAGGAGGGGCAGGAGGGAGAGGTGGAAGGGAGTAGGGGTATGGAGTAGCAGGGAGGTAAGGCGGCGAAAGAGGAGGAAACGAGGGAGGGATAGGAGGATCGGTGGTCTTGTCGTCAGAACTGCTCCTGCTGCTAGGTGACGTCTGGCAGTCAAAGAACTCGCAAAGATCGTCTTCAGAACCGTCTTCGAACTCGCCCAGAGCAGCAGCAGCCTTGCCGTGAGCATCGGGAAAAGCAGCAGGCCTGCCGTGAGCAACGGGAGAAGCAGCCTCGCCGCGAGGAAGCCTTTTTGCTGAATGAGACGGATCAGGCTGATCAGAATCCATGCCGAACGCTACTCAGAGAATACCTGTCGCAGGAGCACAATATTTTTTCACCCTCCACGCTTTAATATTACTGGTTCGGTAAGGTTGAGGTTAACTTGCGGCACCGAGGCGAGGTGCAGCGCCGTGTCGCATCGGCTTGCCGAGGCGAATGTAGAGTCAGACTGTACAAGGCAACAAGGCGTGGTCGAGGTGTGACACAAAGCCGTGACTCAAATCGCCGTGATTTTGAGGGAGTTGCGTGCATGCGCTGTGACTCGCGTGCGCGCGCGGGTGTGATTTGACCTTTCCACGCCGAGTGGGAGGGACCACTCGGTTCAATAGCCGCTTCCGAGGGAGAGAACCCGGCCATGCCCCTCGAGGTTTCCCCGAGGGTCTCGCCTCGGCAATTGCCAGCCGGTGATGCAGGATGGGAGCGTTTCGAAATTCGAGGGAGAGTGAATTGTTTGTGAACCATTTCCGAGGATATCGGGTCCCATCCCATGCATATGCACTGCATCCGCGGTTCGGTTCGGGCCTCTAGTATGTATCCCGGCGGAAACTTGCATGATCTGCATCGTTTCACGGTTTGGGTCTCTGTTATGGCGGGGCTGCGGAGAGTCTCGCCATAGCAGAGCGTGGGTTAGGGCGTGGGTCGTGTGCGGGATGATGGATGCGAATAGGAGGGATGATGGAAGGGCTAGTTTCCCCTAGACGGATGCGCTAGAAGGGCCATGGCGGCTGGTCGTATGGCGGTGCGGAGGGGGAAGCTAGCTGTCGGATCGAATAGGACGAGGCATGATGCATACGTTAAGATGGCGGATTGTCGTGTACGAGGCACGAGGCACGACGCATGGTGTTAAGCTGGAACTTGGGGCATGGTATGCAACGAGGTAATGGGTATTGCGATGCGGGCGACTCGAGGCACAACGCATGCTGCGTTGATGGCCATGTCTCGCGACTCGCGATGGATGATGGCAAGTACATGGCCTTGCGACGACGAGAATAAGGCGTGGATACCCGTGGATCAACACGGGTAGAAGAAAAACAAAAATGCTGGAATAGTGGTTCCGCCACCCTCAAAGCTGATTAGTGGTTAAGATTCTCACTGCTTCTGGTGCTGGCGGCGGCTTCAAGCGAGCCTAGAAGCGCCGATAAGAGAGTTCGGGTTTCGATGTAATAGCTGGGAAGCAAGAAGATAAATCCGAGGTAGCCAAGGAAACACCTGGAATCGAAAATGGGATGCGAAATTCAGAAGAAGGATTTGATGAGGTGTTGAAGGGAAGATGAGAAAGTGGGAGGTCCATTGTTCGTGGCTTCCCTGGGTTTTTCTATGCCATCTGGTGCTGATTTTTATTGAGAAAAATTGCTTATGCTGATAAAAAATTATGATTGAAGTAGATCTCGGGAGAGACGAGCTTGCCCAGCCAGCATACTTATAAACGTGTTACACGGGGCAAAATCTTCTGGAACACAAACTTACTAGTCCCAGCTCAGCCCGCTAGGTAAATACCAGCTTAAAAATTCTCCAACTAGGCCCAAACTACCATCCTAACGGGCATAAATTTCGCGCCTCCAAATCGAAGTCACGCAGCGCCTCGAACCTCGGGCTCCTTGTCTTCTCCCTCGGCTCTCGTCGAAAGAAGCTACAAGCACGAGCACTGTGAGCAGCAGTGTGAGAAAGCGCTCTTGCTTTGCATCGGTAACTTGGAACCGACACCATGTGCATCACGTTTCGTCCCTGTTCGGAGCCCGACCTTCCCGGCATCTATTGGCGCGACGACGACCAATGGCGGCCGTACGACCGCGCCACTTCGCGCGCAATTCTCAAGGCGGCCTCGCTGGGCCTTAGAAACGTGAGCCTGGGGATTTTCACGTCGAATGTCTACCCCAGCGGCGCGACTTACACTCTGGACCTGCAGAGCCTTCAGCAGAGGAACACGAGAAGCGGACAGGAGCGGCCGGTTCTGATCATCCCTAAGCTGACGCTTACTGAGCTGAGCACGGCAGTGGTAACGCCTTCTGTGGTGAGCTACGCAATGATTACTCGTTAATTCTCCACTTTCCGTTTGTCCATGTTGTTTTTTCTAGACGGGGGAACGCATTTAAATCTGATCAAAACTCGGAATGGTTCAATGGCAGGTGTGGAACCAGATCATCAATGCGTTCACGACAGAGGCATACGTGGAGCATGTTGTGAAGCAGCGAGCGACGAAGTGCAACTCCGTCGTGCTGCATGTTCGCCGCAACCCGTACCTCACTCCGGGTTCGCCGTTATTCACGCGATTTCTTGCCACTGCACAGAATCTGCCAGCTGATGCTGCTCTCGGTATGCCCTCCTTTTTTCCCGAGATTTTTTTGCAGTGCTGCACTCTGACGGGCTTCGTTTTTATCGTAAAGATGTTTCGACGGGCTCAACTTCCCCCTGACCTAATGATTCCCCTTCTAGTTTCAAGGGTTTTTCTCCTCTTTTCCTAACTTGCCTGGCTTTGTCGCATGAAACTCTTCAGTCAAGGGTCTGACGTACATGGACACAGCGGAAGCAGGAAATCTCGACCTCGCGTTTCACGGGACTAGCTCTAGCTGCTTTGACCCGATTCTGCGAAACGGGATGAGCCCTACTCACCGCAAAAGCACTCCACTGGGAGACTGGTTCACGCGGCAAGTGTCCTATGCTGCACATTACTCCCAGTCGAGGGATGGAACCCGCGGGTATGGTGGGAGAAAATTAATCGCTTTTTTGCTCCTTGTGGAAAAGAAGGCAGTGGTGCAGGAGAGCGGTGATGTGATTGTAATGAGTGACACAAGCCACCAGCTTCCTGTCGCGGAAGTGACTGTGCAGTAAGGGTGCACATCTTTTCTAGTGCGCTTCGAGGAATGTTTTGCGCTGGCGCTGAGACCAATCGTGTACATAGAGAATGGCTAGAACCTTGTACATACGAAAATCAGACGTATTGCTTGTTCTCCCAATGTGTAATCTGCACATTGTTTAGATTTGTATTGCATGTTTTCACCTTGCTTACATATTTTCAGACCCTTGGTTTTTTTTTGGTAGTGTGGTAATACAGGTTCCCTGTATCCGTTGTTTCTGACATTTTATGCTGGAAAGTGGATTTTAAGATAAAGTTCTATATCGAGGATGCTTTGAGTAAAAATACCTACGACATTTCTCTTCATGTAACATCCAGGATACACGAACCCTAATGCAAACTATTTCCACAACAAACATTTGCTTGCATAAGTGTACAAGCATCAGACGCTATCCAATCTGTATATACAAAATGTACAATTCGGCTTGGACCGTCACTTCTGCGCATCCTCCTTACTACCCTGTCACTTCTGCGCCAACTGACACTTTCGTTTCGCGCCATTACCGGACTGTCCCTTTCGCGCCATTTTACTGCACTGTCACTTCCGCGACAGGAAGCTCGTACCTCGCATCATTCAAAACAATCACATCGCCGCTCTGCTTCACTATCGCCGCCTCCACCACGACCAGCAAAAACGCAATTACCCTTTTCCCACCAATACAGTGACCTTCCCTCGACATTGAAAACCATGCGGCAGATGCCACTTGCCGCGTGAACCAGTCTCCCCGTGGACTGCTTTTGCGGTGAGTAGGGCACATTCCGTTTTGAAGAATAGGCTCGAGGCTGCTAGACCGAGTGCCATGAAACGCGAGGTCCAGATTCCCATTTCCCTTGGTATCCATGTACGTTAAACCGTCGGCTGAAAGGTTTCATACGACAGCAGAGGGGGTATATGGAGGAAAGACACAGAAAAGGAAATACGGGCTTGTTGTAACATCGCTGACGGTATGATGCAAAACGAGAAATGGATGAGCTTACCGAGAGCAGCATCAACTGGCAGATTCTGCGCAGCGGTGACGAATTGCGTGAATAATGGCGACCGGGGCGTTAGGTAGGGGTTACGGCGAATATGCAGCACGACGGAGTTGCACTTCGACGCTCGCTGCTTCACGACATACTCCACGTACGCCTCTGTTGTGAACGCATCAATAATTCGCTCCCACACTCTTTTTGAAAAGTTCCCAGCGGGGATGAGAGCCATGAACAGCTCCGTAACAGTCAGCTTTGGGATGAACAGAACCGGCCGCTCCTGCCCGCTTCGGGTGTTCCTCTGCCGCAGGCGTTTCAAGTCCAGCGTGTAAGTCGCGCCGTTAGGGTAAACACTCGACGTGAAGGTACCCAGGTCTACGTTGCTGAGGTTCCTCGAGGCCGCCTTGAGAATCTCGCGGGTCGTCGCACGGTCGTATTGCCGCCATTGGTTGTTGTCGCGCCAGTAGATGCCGGGAAGGCTGGGCGTCAAGCAGGGACGAAACTTGATGCACATGTTGTGACTCCAAGTTACCGCTGCAAGGCAAGAACGCGCTTTGCTCGAAGTGCACTTGCTTGTCGTTGCTTTCGACGAGTGCCGATGAAAAAGTCAGGGAGCCGGAGGTTCGAGGCGCTGAGCGCGCCCGTTGTCAGGCTTGTCTGGGGCTGAACCATGGATTTAACCTGGTAGTTGCCCAGGACTTCTAAAATGTGGACTATTCAGTACAATCTGCAGCTTTACCCTGTTCGAATGAAGTGCGTCAGTAGCCAGGTAAGCTTTCCAGGCTGGAGCTGGCGTGATATTTTTTTGTTCCAACATCATGAGATATTTTGGCCAACATTCAGTATACCGCCCTGACAAACACAAGTTTTGTAATATCGGAAGCCTGACAAACATAAGTTTTGTTATATCGGAAGCCTTTTTGTGTCGCCCCCTTTTTGCTTCCCCATGCCCTCATAACCCTTGCCTCGATCTCGCATAATCCGATCCGACCTCTTATTCCTTGGGCTTCGGTGATCCCATCTTCCCCGTTCTAATACATTGTTGTACACGCCTTAATCACGCCGTCATCACACATCGCGAATCGTGTGACCATCCAGGCAGAATACGTCGTGCCTCGTGTCGCGTGCATCTTCAAAAATAAATTTCCGCATATTTCCGCCATGATCGCGCCTCGTGCCTCGTGG